ACTCATTTTCTTATTTTATGTATTAAATTCCTTCTGACCTTTAACCTTTGTTATAGGCAAAGAAGAGTAAAACAAAAATGCCATCTCTGGTAAAGAAGTGGCAGAGCATACAGCGTGAGTTAGATGAAGAGGAGAACTCTAGTTCCAGTGAAGAGGACCGGGAATCAACTACACAGAAGCGAATTGAAGAGTGGAAACAGCAGCAGTTGGTCAGGTAAAAGAAAAGAGACCAAAAGAGGGCGGGGTGGGGTGGGTTGTGATTAATTCAGAGAAACATTTATCTATAAAAATTATGGCTTGGCCTTTTTCAAAATCAGAACTATCAGAATTGTAATACTTTGTCCCATCAATTGCTCATCTTATGCAAAGGACTGGTTTTTAACACTGAGCATACCTTCCCATTTACTTACGGATCCAGTAGACCCTTACACATATTTTTTTTTTTCCATTTTATTTTATATACTAGAGGTCCAGTGCACAAAATTCATGCGGGGGGACAGGGCTCCCCTCAGCCTACATTGGGAGAAGGTGCAGGCCAGGCCAAGGGACCCCACCAGTGCATGATCAGGGTCAGGGAGGGATCCAAGAAGGCTCCAGGGGTTTCCGGCCAGTCTCCCTCAGTCCTGATCAGCTGGACACCAGCAGCAAGCTAACCTACTAGTGGGATCATCTGCCCCCTGATGGTCAGTGCACATCATAGCGAGCAGTTGAGCACTTTTAGCATAATCATTATCAATACTAGAGGCCCGATGCATGAAATTCATGCAAGAGTAGGCCTTCCTTCCCCCTGCTGCTAGCACCAGCTTCCGGACAGCCGATCTAATTAGCATATTACACACTAGAAGCTCAGGGCACGAAATCGCATGCATTGGCCCGCCACTGCTTGTGGCGCCGTTCACCTGCTGCCCACCTGGCTGCCATTGGAGCCTGTGGGCCACGGGGTCGGGGCCAGCAGGTACTCAATGCACGTCATGGTAACCAGTCATTTGGTTGTCTTGATCATCACGGACTCTAGCTTTTTATCTATATATAGATTACACTTCGATTAATTGAATGGACAAAGCGGACACTTAGCATATTAGGCTTTTATTATATAGGATAATTTACCAAGGTAAAAACAACGGGAAAGGGAGAACACTTTATTAGAAATTTTAATAAGGCCCTAGCCAGTTTGGCTCAGTGGATAGAGCCTCAGCCTATGGACTGAATGGTCCTGGGTTCAGAAATTTTAATAATAATTTACACATATCCTGTTTCCCCAAAAATAAGACAGTGTCTTATATTAATTTTTTCTCCCAAAGTTGCGCTAGGTCTTATTTTCAGGGGATGTCTTATCTTTCCATGCACTAGGTCTTATTTTCGGGGAAACACGGTAGTTAACCCAAATTTGCATTCCTTATTTTCCTGGTTTTGAAAGGTATGTACACTGAAATGAGCAACATTCTCCTAATGTTTTTCAATTGTCATGTATAATCTGGACCATACTTCTTTCATAAATAGTGATGCCAAATTTCAAATTCACCTCTGATAGGTCTAGATTATTATTTATGGTTCTTGCTCTTGCAACATCCGTAAACACAGTACATATAAAAACATTTGGAAATAAAATTGTAATGTTAAAAAAATATATACAAAGTAAACAGTATCATGCTTTATGTACTCACTAAAAAAAATTTTGAGAGAAGATAGTCATTCATTGCTTCATAATTGAAAACTTTTTTTTTCGATAAATATATATCAATTGAATGGTCATTCCAGTGGATTTGTTTCTAAAATATCTACTTCTCTCCAATCACTGCACACTTGCTTTCAGCATTTGTCTACTTGAGAACCCTATCAAATAAATTTCAGCATGCAGCATCAGAAAACAGGAAATATTCCTGCTACATCTTTTTAGGAAATCTAGATGGCCCAGGCTCATATTATAAAATACTAGATTATGAAATTGAATCTAGTGCTGCTCTCTGTCTCTTTGCATTCATCTTATACTTGTAAAAGCAAAAAAATACTGCAAATGTCTCCGAACTTCATTTTTTACTTTCTTGAGAGGTGATGCTCTATTTTTGGCAACATCATAATAAAACTGAGGGATGGTGTTAGTTTAGTGACTTTCACTTTTGCATCATCCTCATAGGTGATTCTATTCAGGGTTTTTATTTTTTTGTTTTTTTTGTTTTTACTCCTTTTTATTATTGCTGGGAATTGAATGATGAATTCCTATAAGATGAAATTAGGAAACGATTTAAGATGATGGGAGGCAATCAGAATGATCTTGTAATTTATCTAAATTATTTTAGATTTATAAAAGCATCCAGTGCACCCATTCTGATCATTGCAAGATAGAATATGAGCTTTAATCTATTTTTTAGATGACTAAGTTATGAGTTATCAATCTTTACAAATAGAACTGATCAAAAGAGAATTTCTAAAACATTAGGTCCAAAGGTCTCTTATGGTATATTGAAGGTTAAATATATCTTCCTTAAAGAATCATAACTCCTAGTGGCCAAGAGAAACTTTCATAAGAATGTTTTGTTCCTTCAGTGTGACTTTAATGGTTGTTGGAGATATATAAAAATAAAAGTTTTATGTCTTTTGTTGCCCCATCAGAAGAAATTTGATAAAGAATTTGCTGGTACTTAGCTAAGAAACTTAGAGCATTTTCATGAACATAGATGTGATAGGTCAGATTTTCAGTTTCAGTTAAAAGGGTTTTTTTTATTTGCTAGGTAATAAACAGATTAATTATTTTTCTTCCCAGTGAAGTACTCTGTTTTTTGCTTTCACAGTGGCATGGCAGAGAGAAATGCTAATTTTGAAGCCCTTCCTGAAGATTGGCGAGCAAGACTGAAGCGAAGGAAAATGGCTCCAAACACATAATATTTTTTAAAATTAAAAAACAAATGTTTATTGGGCGTGTATGGATGTGTGTGTGTGTGTGGTGTGTGGATGTGTGTGTTCAGTTCAGAGTCTTAACCTGTTTTATGTTGTCAATAAACCATAAATGTTATGAGGGAGAACATATGAATTTTGAATTTCCTGGCCAAGAACATAACACCTGTAGAGTTTTCACATTTGGGAAATGAAATTTTCTGCTTTGCTGAAGGGTAAGGTGACTGCTTTGACCTGGCTGAGTTTGTTCACACGGACAAACTCAGCTTGTTAAGTATATTAACCTCATCACTCTGGATCATGTGGCTTACGAGTGGTTAAGTTTTTTAGAGGACACTGACAGAAAGTGAAGAATTTTCCTACCTAATGGAGGCTCAATAAGTGTTCCTATATGGTTCTCTCTCATTAACTTCTCCAGAACAAGTGCAATTAAGGAGGAAGCTCTGTATTCTACCTTGCTTAACTGGGATTATCAGATCTTTCTAACCTCTTCCTCCAGTCTGCCACCCTGGAGTGCTAGGAAAAATCAAGTTATCATGTGCTGATAGATGGCCACACTCTATTCTATCTCACACGTTCTAGAATTGAAAGCTGTCATTTCATATACCAGATGAAATATTTAAATTTCAGCACAGGCAGCAGCAGCAAGCTCAGGTCTTTGATCTTGAGAATTTCCCTACAGCAGTAAATGGAACAAAAGCCACTTGTATGTGTTGATATTGTCTCCATTGTCTTATTCCAAAATTCACCTCCCTTTTCATGTGTGAACGTGTTTTCCATAAAATTCCAGTATTTAAAAAGCAGTTTACTGTTCTGTATTTTCTATTGTATCACAATCAGGTAAAAGTCACTTTAAACTGAAGAAAAGGCAAATTGTGTTTTAAAACTCTTTGTATTTCTCCAGTTTCTGACCTTGTAAATTTGTATATATACACTAATAAAGCTTTTTTTATACTTCTGATTGTCCTTTTGCTCTTGTAAACCTGTTCATGATTATGTAACCAACACTTATTTGATATCAATCTATCTTAGTTTTTTCTAATAAAATATGGTAGAGAGGCAAACATTAAAAGAACAGCTCTAAAAAAGCAAGATCTTGAATCTGAAGATGGGCAGGATTAGAAAAACACTTCTAGTACCAAAAGATGCTGTGTGTCTTCAATTTTGGAGCTTGTACTCTATAATAGCTAATGTTTGACCTACTAAAATCCAGTGCCCCTGACCATGAATCAAACCCAGGAACCCTTCTATTTGTGGGCCGACACTAGCCGCTGAGAAAAACCAGCCAAGGCTAAATGTTTTTTCTTGTAATTGCATAGAGCAAATTTCTAGAAATAGAGGCTTGTCAACTAGCTGTTAAATTTCTTGTCACTATCCTACCAAATTGATATTTTTTAAAATCTGACAGTCAAAATATGTGGGTTTAAATTAACTATTTTTTGTAGAAAGTTTCTTTTAAATATTTTTCATTGATTTTTTACTTTTTATATGTTTTCATTGATTTCAGAGAGAAAGGAAGAGGGTGGGAGAGATGAGAGATTCATTAATCCGCTGCCTTCTGCATGCCTCCTCCTGGGGATGGAGCTGGCAACCCCCGCAGATGCCCTGACCCGGAATCCAACCTTAACTCCTGGGCCACACCTGCCCCGTGAGAGTAATTTCTCACTTCCGGCGTTGAGCTGGCTTTCCTTGTTACCTAATGGGACAGCAAAGAAGTGTGGAGTATGACTACAGGCTTTGTATTTCAACCAAATTACCACTGATTTACCCAAGAGACGGGCGCGACACCTTTCCCTTGGGAGGCGGGGCCTCGCTCCCGGAAGCGCCCGGCCGCCCCGCCCTCCTGCTTTGGTTTCGTGGTTGCTAGGCTACCGGCGTCCTGGCCGAAAGCGGTGGCGGGTGAGCGAGGTTGCCTCTGCCCCGTGCACCGCTGGCATCTGTACCTGCTGCGCCGTGGCCTCCCGCCTCGCCGGGGACCTTCAGCGGAGCCGGGAATCCTCCTCCTTCCCCCGCACCACCACCCTCCGGGAAACTGCCCCGCACGCCTTTGCCCGGACCAGGAAGCCCTGAACCCCTGAATTTCGGGCCTCTGACTTTTCTTTTCCATCCAGCCCGAGATCACTTTTTCTCGCTTGTTTCACTATCTCGCGGCACCTTTCTGCTTGCGGAGAGGAAAGCATGGGGCCTGCAAGCGCACGGGGGCCTCGGGAGAAGGCTGGGAGTCGCGTCGCCCGCCCCCGTTTCTCAGGTACGCCTCCGGCCTCAGGATGGGGACCACCAGCCGGTCCTCCCTGTGGGAGCAGACACTGAGTGGGCAGGAAGAAAGGAGCCCTGGGGCAGGGTTTCCTAAAACCGCGGGGGAGCCGCGGGAGCAAAGGGTGGGCATGGTGACCATCGGCAGGTGTTTCAGTCGTCCTGTTGTGGTTTTTCAGCTTCTGCTGTGTAATCAGCTGCCCTTGTGGAACCCCGGCCAGCGCTGTGGCTGGATGCCTGTGTGACTGACTGCCGGTCCGTATGTCATACAGAAGCAACATGTTCCCAGCACTGGAAGCAGAGCTAAAGCAGAAGGTCGGTACACACCCCTTTCCGGGAACTCCACAGACATCCAATGCTAACTAGATCAGAAGGTATATTCCGGTGGCTCCTTTTTCTAGCTGGAGTTCTTGATTTCCCGAGAAAGAATGTTTTGTACGAATACTTCATACCTGGTTTATTTACAGAAGTCAAGTATACTACCCTCTGCAACAGTGCGTGCCTACCTTTTGCTAAGAGTTCAGTACGATTTGAAAGGGCTTTCCTGATTGAGATGGCCTTTCCTTTCACAGACTCTTCCTGATCCCTATGAAGTCTTTATGTACCATCATCTCCAGTACTATGGCTACTTCAAAGGTAATATCTTGTTCTTATCCAGCACCACCTTTCCTGGGTTCATGAAGGCAATTGTTTCATTAACCGGGAGAGTCATGCTAGGATAAAACTAATGAGGAATTTTTCCAACACTATTACTGAAAAGTATCCCTTTCCTCATTATCTGTTCGTCTACCCTTACACTAATACCACTCTTTGTTCATTCTACCATATGGCAGTAAGACAGTATTTTTGTTTTTGCTTTAAATGTTTCAATATGCTGTATTGTGTCTTGTTTATTCTTGCCTTTTTATATAGTCTTAGAATTGGCTTGTGATGTTTTAAAAAAATTATTGGGTCTATAAAATCTAATTTCACAAGAACTGAGAATTTAGCAATATTGGGTTCTCCAATCTCTGAATATAGTCTAATTCTCCATTTATTTAGGTCTTCCTTAATTTCTCCCAATAAAGGTTTACTAGTATAGTTTTTCCATAATGTTCATATTTTTATGCTGTTGAAATGGTATCTTTGTAAATTTTGGTTTTTCTAACTTTGCTCCTAGTATTTAGAAATAAAATCAAGTTTTATATTGATTTTATTTCTGTCAACCTTGTTAAACTTTTCTATTTTTAAAAAACATTTTATTGATTTTTTACAGAGAGGAAGGGAGAGGGACAGAGAGCCAGAAACCTCGATGAGAGAGAAACATCGATCAGCTGCCTCCTGCACACCCCCCACTGGGGATGTGCCCACAACCAATGTACATGCTTTTGACTGGAATCGAACCTGGGATTCTTCAGGCCGACGCTCTATCCACTGAGCCAAACCGGTTTCGGCTAAACTTTCCTATTAACTATTTCACTTTTTAAGTGATCACTAAGTTGTTGAAAACTGAATTTCCAGTTTGCCAGACTCAGCAGAGCCCTCAGGACAGAGCAGCTCCACTGCCACTTGCAGTACCAGCCTTCACGTGGCTGTGGCCCTGTTGGCTGCTCTTATACTAGCCGCTACCCCGTCTTTCTGCCTCCCAAGCCCTTTCTCCTTCCACTACATCATGCTGCCTCTCAGGTCTCCTCCTCCCTGTAAAACGGAGAAAATGATGTTTAACTCAAGTAAGCAGAAATGTGAAAACTCTTTGGAACATGAGATGCGTTCATTGTAAAGGCCTGTGGTAGTGGGGGTTTGGTAGTAGTGGTTCGGGGTTGCACCTGGATGTTAGGGGTGGTAACTAGCCTTCCAGCGCCTGTAATTTAAACTGCCTTTTCTTAGCTGGAAGAGGCAGTGTACCAAGCTCTGCTACGCACCAGCATGTTCGGAAGAATAATCCCCGAATTGTCTTGAGTGACTCCTTTAGGGGAAGAGATGATTTGATAGCAGACCACCTGGAAAAGGAGAACCTTCTATGTGAGTAAGACACAGTGTGAGTGATCCCCAGAGCTCTCGCTGCCCTGAGCAGCTGCTCTAGAGGTTCCGGAGAACATGGTCTATTGTAGAAGCCAGAGGAGCAGCCACTGTTTCTGCCATCACTCAAAAATATTCCCTCTAGATCTATTTTGTATTGTAGGTTTAAATGAAAATACTACACATTACCTTCCTCCGATTTGTACTACACATTACCTTCCTCCGATTTGTTGGAAAATTTGTTAAAACTTTCTGGTCAAGAGTTAGAACACTGATTTTTCACACAGGTTTGATAGATATATTTGTTAAGGCTCTTTGTGAAAGAGTGGTGGAAACCAATTCCAGCTTAAGCAAAAATAATTTGTAAAGGTATTCCACAGGTTTCTTCTAGAATCCAAGGGCAAGAATTCAATAGATTTTTTTCTCCCTTAAATACATATTCAACCAAAGATCAATTTGCTTCTCTTTACTCCATATCCTCCCTGCCCCCAGCCTAAGTTACCATCATTTCTCACTAGTGAATATATGTAGATATTCTTACACGTTCTAATTATTTGTAAGTGCTCAATAAATGCTAGTATGACCTTTGAATTTTTTCTCCAGTTTCTGGATTAGGGTTTAAAAAAAAAAAAAAAAAAGAGTGTGTGAATTTAAATCATACTTTGTAGGTACTGCTAGACTGCTTTCCAGAATGGTTGCAACCAATTGGGCTTCTTGGCAGCAGTGCCTGAGAATACCTATTTACTTACACCTTTGCCAGGATGAGTGTGCAAACCTGTAAATGTTTTTCCCATTAGGTAAAAAACTGGCGTCTCCTTGTCATTTTGATTTACATTTCCTTATGAGTGAGATTGAAGAGCTTCACCATATTTTAAAATCTTTATTGGGCCCTCCCCACCCCAATTAAACAGTGAGGAAAAGATTTAGATACAGACGTAGTGGGGGTGGGAGGAGGGAAAGGGACAGAGAAAAGAAAGACAAACCGTGCCTCCTCCTCCCTCTTTTTAGGCTCTACCTGTCTATCCTCAGCTGTGCATCAACAGGCAGAAGCTGTGAGCAAAGGTATTTCATGTCCCTCCAGCCCAGAAAACTCAAACCTCCTCTGTGGGAACATGTCTTCACCCCCTTCCTCTCCCCACCAGAGCTGAGAACCAGCACACTGAGGGGCCCTGGTTCCTTCCCCGTTATTTTCTGTCTTTTCATTCTTCCTCTCATTTCCTTTCTTTTTTTCTTTTTTTTTTCTCCCCGAAAGCCTTTCTTTCCCTCCCTTCTTTCTCATTCTCTACTTGCCAAGAGCTCCTCTCTCTCTCTCTCTCTCCTGCCCAATCACACTACTCTCCCACTTCCCGTTTCGAAGTCGCTGTCCTTGGAATGGTTATATTTGGAATTTGAAATTTAATTTGCAGATTGTTTTTAATAGTTTTATGTACATTTTTCTAAAATGCTAATGGGTGAGTTGAAAGTTCCGTCTCTTGCCTCCCACTAAACAAAAGTACTAATAGAATACATTAAATAACTTTTTATTCATTTGCAGCTCACTGTTGAGATGTCTTAACTACATTAGATTTTTTTTTTTTAAACACAAAAATGTTTCTTTTAATTTATTCTTAAAACTTCACACTTAGCCAAACCGGTTTGCCTCAGTGGATAGAGCATCAGCCTGCGGACTGAAAGGTCCCAGGTTCAATTCCGTCAAGGACATGTACCTTGTTGTGGGCACATCTCCAGTAGGGGGTGTGCAGGAGGCAGCTGATTGATGTTTTCTCCCATCGATGTTTCTAACTCTCTATCCTTCTCCCTTCCTCTCTGTAAAAAATAAATAAAATATAATTTTTTAAACAAAAAACTTCACACTTAAATATTTAATAGACTGTGTCAAATTTGATTTTTATCATTTCTATGCCATCATCCTGAACTAAATCTCTTTGAAGGAAAAATATGTGGTTGGATTGCACATCTGTGCTTTTTTTTGAGGGAGAGAGAGAGAAAATGAAAGGACAAGAGGAGGGGAAGAGAAAGAAACATCAATGTAAGAGAGACACATGGCTTGGTTGCTTTCAGCACATGCCCTGACTTGGGTCAGGGATCAAGCCTCCAACCAAAGTAGTTGCCCTTGCCAAAACCGGTTTGGCTCAGTGGATAGAGCATCGGCCTGCAGACTAGAGGGTCCCAGGTTCGGTTCTGGTCAAGGGCATGTGCCTTGGTTGTGGGCACATCCCCAGAGTGGGGTGTGCAGGAGGCAGCTGATCGATGATTCTCTCTCATTGATGTTTCTAACTCTCTATCCCTCTTCCTCTCTGTAAAAATCAATAAAATATATTTAAAAAAAAAAAAAAAAAAAAAAGTAGGTGACCTTGACTGGGAATAGAACCTGCAACCCTTCTGTCTGCTCTAACCACTGAGCACCAGCTAGGACTGTGCTCATATTTTAGTAATGCTTAGAGTTACTTAGTGGTCTAGTTGATCAGTAAGGTTCCCAAGGAGGAAAGAAGCCATTCACTCATTCCCTTGCCCTTTGGCAGATTCCTTTATGCTGAGTTCATCACTGCTCAGGAGCAGACTCTTTCTTCACGATGATTTTGGTGAAGTGAGCCCATGTCTTCGAGAACCTCAAGATCTCTTTGACCTTTACTCTTGCTCCGTGCCACTGCAGGCTCCCAGGTGGCCGATAGAATGCGAGGTCATCAAAGAAAGCATTCATCATATTGGTATGTGACTATGTATCATGGTCTTACTGTTCTGGTAGACTTTATTACAAAACCTCATAGTTTTAAGTCCTGTGTGCTAAAGTACAAGGCAGGACAGATTCAACATCTCTCATCTCATCCCAAAATGATTATCTCACCCTGGGATATTGAAATACACTCACCAAAGTCAAAAGTTACACTAATATGTAAATTAGAATGTTTCAGAGTCCATTAGAATGGAGGATACCTTATTAGAGGCCAAAATATATTCTTACTTAAATCTGTTTTCTAGATTATTCCCCTCTCAGTATTAATGTGCTTAGTTGAGTTTTATAAAAGTTGTATTTCTACTGGACTTATATATAGTTAATGCACACCATATATCAGAGTGTAATTTGTACTGTTTCTTATTATATTTTAGTTTATTGGAGTTTTTATGGGAATGGTAGAGACTTTTTAAAAAATTTATTTTAGAGGGAGGGAGGGAGAAAGGGAGAGAGAGATAGAAGATGTATCCATTGGCTGCCTCCTGCACACTCCCTACCTAGGATCAAGCCCAAAATCCAGGCATGTGCCTTGACTGTGAATAAAACCTGTGACCTCTTGGTACATGGGTTGACACATAACCACTGAACCACACCAGCTGGGTGGTAGAGACATTTTTTTTATGGCATTGCTGGTCATATCTTTGAGCTATTGGTGCAAATATAATCTTCAGCACTCATTTTTTTTTAAATATATTTCATTGATTTCTTACAGAGAGAAAGGGAGAGGGATAGAGAGTTAGAAACGTCAATGAGACAGAATCGGCCAGCTGCCTCCTGCACACCCCCCACTGGGGATGTGCCCGCAACCAATGTACATGCCTTTGACCGGAATCGAACCTGGGACCTTTCAGTCCACAGACCGACGCTCTATCCACTGAGCCAAACCGGTTTCGGCTTCAGCACTCATTTTATGAAGCATTTTCAGAAATGGGGAATTTTCTAATTGGTGGAATAACTTATATCTACCAGACATCATGTCTCTGCTTTAGACTACTGGATAAACAACTGGAGTTTCTTATTTTCTCCCTTTCCTCATTTGTTATTCACTTAATAAATATTTATAAAGCTTCTACTATATGCTAAGTACAATGCTTAGTGTTAGATTTACAGTGATGAACAAGACAGAGATACCCAGAGCTCATAGACTAGTGGGAAAGTTAAAGATACAACCAGCCAATTGCAAAGAGTTTGATCCCTTGAGAACATTTAAGATCAGTAAGAGTTTCCAAAAGGAGTTGAAATGTCAGCTGGGATCTGAAGAAGAAGTTAGAAGTAATCCAGTTGAGAGAGTCAAAAAAAAGTATTCCAATTAGAGGAAATAGAAAAAGAGAATGCCATGTTTGGGCAACCATGAAACATTAGGCCTGAAAGATGAGATGAAACTGAAATATAGGGATGGGCTTAGTGTTCTAACTGGGACAGAATTGCTCTTTGGGTGTTTGAAAATGTGTGTGTGGTGGGTGGGGAGGGGAATGCACATTTAGAGTTGGCACAGTAGCTGAGAAGTCCTAAGGTCATCTGTCCCTATCCTGTACAATCTATAATAGTAGAGCGTAATATGCTAATTAGATTGGATGTCCTTCCAGATGACCTTCAGATGTTGAAGGAAGCCTGGGACCTGGGTGCCAGAGGGGAGCCAGTACCGGCAGCCAGGGGAAGGAAGGCCTGCTCTTGCAGGAATTTCATGCATCAGGCCTCTAGTTTTTATATAAAAGTCCAAGTTGAGCAGGCCAGACAATAGGATTTTCTAGTTCTCTATATAAAATAGAATAAGATAGAGATTCCTGTGAAAATTTTAGAAATAATTCCAAAAGGAAAAATAAAAAGTGTAAAATGTAACCCACTAAACCATTAAATCTTTTTTTAAAGCAATTTTTTTTAATTTCAAGGAAATCTAATAGCAAGTACCTGCTATTTAAACTGAATTGTCAGAGCCTTATTACTCCCCATTACCTTAAAGAAAAGGACATTGTCTTTTACTGAGTTGTATCTTTATATGCCCTCCGCTTTCATCACTTAAAATGATATGGAGGCCGAAACTGGTTTGGCTCAGTGGATAGAGCATCGGTTCCGGTCAAGGGCATGTACCGGGTTCGATTCCGATCAAGGGCATGTACCTTGGTTGCAGGCACATCCCCAGTAGGGGGTGTGCAAGAGGCAGCTGATCGATGTTTCTCTCTCATTGATGTTTCTCTCTGTCTGTCTCTCTTCCTCTCTGTAAAAAATCAATAAAATATATATATATTTTTTAAATGATATGGAGGAGTTCCCCAAGTTTCATATGAGAAATCTTTTAGAATTGAGTGATGAAAAAGCCTTGTTTTTTTCTGAAACAAGTGATATACTTATGTTAATAAAAGGTATGTCGCTGATCATATTTCCCTGGTTTTAAAAGGAAGCTCAGGACCAAATTTTGAAGATTTAGTACAGCAACTGTATTGACTTTTCCAGCTTACTTTTTTAAGTCTTCTATTTAAAGTTTATGTGTTTTTGTTAAAAGTCTTCTCATAGTTTTATGGAAAGAAGCAAGACAACTTGTAAACAAATTAGAAACTTAGGTTCTGACAGAGTGGTTCTGTATTATTTCTCATTGTGTACTTTTTAAATGTCTTCTTTCAGAAAGAGTTCCACCTCAACCAGAATATTTTTATCAACCTACAGGAAATGAAAAGGTACCAGAAATTGTAGGAGAGGAAAAAGGCACAGTTGTCTACCAATTAGATTCAGGTATTGTCATTAAGCTGAACAGTGAGTAATTAATTAATCATGACAAGGTTATAAATATTTTCTATAATAAATGTGATTTTAGAAAAATCCATATTCAGTGATAAATTGTCTTTTCCAAACCAATCTGAATAGGAACCCTGATATTCATGAATAATCAGCTTTAAAATTTCAATCATTTTTTAAAATGACAGTACCTTTTTCTTAATAAATGTAAATCCATTTTATAGCTTCTCCCTCATTATTCCTCTTCCTGAAATTCAGAGTTGGATCTTTGGGAAATGCATTCTTTTTTCCACCTGCTATATGTACCTGGGTGAGTACTTTATAGAATGTGCATATGACTGTCATTTACCATGTGGTTTCCTACATGAAGTAGAAGATCTCCTAAAGATAGAATGCATGTCTTTTATAAAAATGTGCAGAACTCTGTACCCAATAACAGCCACAAAATACACATTTGTTTCAAGGGTCTCTGATCGATTCTCCAGTATACACCATATGCTAATTTGTAAAGCAGGTCTTAATACTTTTTATGTAAAAGGATTGAAATGATACAAAACATGTCCTCTGATAACAACAAAATTAAATTAGAAATCAACAGCAGAATGACATTTGGGAAATCTCTAGATATTTGGAAATTGAGCATCTACCATATGCTAAGTACAGTGCTTAATGTTAGGGATACAGTGATGAACAAGACGGAAACACCCATTTCTAAGTAACCCATGTGTTCAAGATATCACAAGGAGAGTTTAAAAATATTTTGGAATGAAAATAAAACAACATATCAACATTTATGGGATGCAGCTGCAAGGTAAATTTATGGCTTTAAATATTACATATATTTAAAAGGAAGAGGAGGATCCCAAAAGGATTTGTGAGAGAAAGTCTTTTCCTTTCCAGCTGCCCACAGCCACCAGGTAAACAAAGACGGGGGCTTCCTTATGGAGGGAGAAGCAGGCCAATGCAATGTGCTTTCTTTTCAGGCTGTGCTGCTGGCAGTGCGCCAGCTCTCTGCCCTCCACTGGGACCCCTGCCTACCAAGCCCGATAAAGCACAGCAGACTGGAACACAAGGCCAAGCAAGGCTACTAGGTCATACATTGGACTCTGTGTGCCGTGTTAGCCACAAACACCCTGTTGCTAAGGGTGCAGACAATGGAAGCCTGTCCATCATGGTGCTAACCAGCTCAAGTTTGCTAGAAGCCTTCAGTATGCTGCTGAGAAGCTAGCTGGGCACCACAGTGGGCCTCTGAGAGTCCTGGATTCTCACTGGGTGGGTGAAGATTCCACACACAAAATCTTTGAGGTTCTCCTCACTGCTCCACTCCATAAGGCTATCAGAAGAAATCCTGACACCCAGTGGGTCACCAAACCAGTCCGTAAGCACAGGGAGATGTGAAGGCTGACATCTGCAGGCACAAGAGCCGTGGCCTCAGAAAGGGCCACAAGTCCCACCACACTATTGGTGATTCTTGCCGTGCGGCTTAGAGAAGGCACACTACTCTCCAGCTCCACCCTTACCGCCAACATAAGTAATGTTTGTAAAATCCTTACCTAATAAACAATTTAGGACAGTGAAAAAAAAGGAAGGAAAAATAAATAAAGAAGGAAGATCTGAAATCAATTATCCAAGCTTCCACTTTAATAAATTAAAATAGAGCAAAATAAAGTCAAAGCAAGCTGAAGAATGGAAGTGATAAAGATGCTAATGAAATAGATGAAATAGAAATTTTAAAAAATGGTAGAAAAACCAAGTTGATTCTTTGGAAAGATTGACAAACTAGCCCAACCAAGGAAAAGGGAGAGGAGATACAAAATATCAAAATCAGCAGTGGAAGAGAACATAAGCATCAACTCTATAGAAATCAACGAATTACAAGACAATGCTGGTAACAACTTCACGCCAACAAATTAGACAGCATATGTGAACAGGAATGATTGCTAGAAAGACACAAGTCACCAAAACTGACTCAGGAAGAAATTAGAAGTCTGAAGAGATTACAACAAAGAAATTGAATTAGTCATTTAAAATCTTCCTGTAAAGAAATCCCTGGCCTAGGTGTTTGTTTGTACTGTATCAAACATTTAAAGATGAAATTGTACTAATTCCTTATAAACTCTGAAAACAGAAGAGAAGGAAGCATTTGCCAACTCTCTTTGGTGAAGCCAACATTGTCTTCATAATAAAGCCAAACAACAACATCACAAGCAAACTATAGATCAATATTCCTTATGCATATAAGTGAAACATTTTTCAAAAAAATACCAGCAAACCAAATCCCACAGCACATTGAAAGGATTATACACCATGACCAAAGGGGGTCCATCCCAGGAGTGCCTGGGTGCTTCCCTGTAAGAAAATAAGCAGAACCACATTAGTGGAACAGAGTGGAAAGAAACAGCCAGCTCAGGGCAGAAAAAGCATTTGACAAAACTCAGCCTTTCATGATAAGAACATTCAGAAAGCCAGGAATCGAGGAGAATTCTCTCAACCAACTTGATAAATAGTATTTATGGAAAGAATGGATCAACTTCACACCCACCAAAATTGCTAATGGGTCAACTTCAAAATATAGACAATAACAAGTGCTGGAGAGCATGTGGAGCAGGTGGAAATACTAACACTTGTGACAGAAAGGAAAGATAATGTTAAAGAGCAATGAGCCAAGAAATGTAATATGAACCTTCCCAAGGAAAGGGAAGTAAATTTTGAATTAATAATGTCACGATTCTTACTGGGTTGGTGAAGATTCCACAAATTTTAAAAAATATATATTTTATTGATTTTTTACAGAGAGGAAGAGAGAGGGATAGAGAATTAGAAACATCGATGAGAGAGCTGCCTCCTGCACACCCCCTACCGGGAATGTGCCCACAACCAAGGTACATGCCCTTGACCGGAATCGAACCCGGGACCTTTCAGTCCATAGGCCAACGCTCTATCCACTGAGCCAAACCGGTTTCGGCTCCACAAATTCAGGGAGAGTTGAGCCCACCAAAGTGGAGGAATAAAGAAGCAGAAAACTGGGAAGAGAAGATGGGGCTCCAGAGGGAATTTGGGAGTTTGTCATCGGAGGGGCCCCACAGCAACTACATGCTGTGAGAATATTGGAGGAAAGAAGGAAATTGGATTTGTTTTTTGAGAAATGTTACTACGAGCTCTGAACTGGATCTTTAATGTTACCGAAGAGACTCAAGAAAACATGGGAATTTCCATATTAATAACATCTGGTCCCTGGGCTGTACTTTGGTTTCATGAGGAGACTGAGCCATGGGGGGGCCCCAGCTTTTACTTAGATAACAGGGACTCTTGGCCTCTGCTTTTGTTCCTTCCTTTGTGCTTGTTTTCTTCTTTCACCCACTTCTTTTCATGCTTGATTTCTCCTTCACTCTCGTTTCTTATCTAAGTGTTTATTATAAAGTCTTTCCAGTGACATGGTTGCGTAGGAGCAAAAGTCTTCATAGCAATACTGTATTTACTAATGATCTGACCACTTATGTAATCAGGCCCCACACATATGTTCCATGGTCAGCATCTTTGATGGTGTCAGTCACTTGCTGATGAATGGATATTATTAACATCTGGTAATATAATGCAAATAAAAATCAGTTGTGAAGTGAAATTATGATTTTTAACAAGAGATGCAGCATTTTATGAAATAGAAGTTGATGAGTGTTGCTGAATTGCTTGAATCACTTGCAAAGCCACTAACAAATGAGAACCTAGAAATTTTTTTATCAGTTGACAAAGACAAAATCAACAAAAGATGACAAAAATAGGTTCTTCTGGACACAAGGATGAGAATATTGTGGTACAAAGAGAAGTCCTTAGGAAAACTACGAAGTCCTAAGAGAGTTTTGCAAAAGTAACGGCAGAAATCAAAGATGTCATATGGAACCCTTACTGAATTTATCTGAAAAATTACAACCCCAAGGAAAAATAATAATAATTGATTCTTTATTATTCCAAATATTAGAAAGAGGTTGTGGTTATAATCTAAATTTTGTTAAATAAGATAAATTTCATACATTTTTAAAATTTCATTTTAAAGTTAAAATTTCAATTGTAACCTTTCTTTTCACTGAGAACTATATTTCGGTTCCTTTCCCAGGGGCATCCACCCATGCCAGTTCTTCTCAAACTGCTGTTTTTGTTATATTTAAATCTGGAAACATGTATCAAAAAAATTTATGGCATCTGCTATGTTTTCTCTTTTTTGTTTTTCCCCTTTTTCTTAAATGAATAAATAGGTGCTATTTGTTGGGTTTTTAAATAAGGTTGCAAATGTTCTCAGATGCTTCGTTTAGAATATTCCCTTTTGCCAACATCCTTTTAAGCGAAATAAACCAGTCAGAGAAAGATAAATATTAAATGATCTCACTCATTTATGGAAAATAATGAACAACATAAACTGATGCACAAAAAACAGATCCAGAGACAGAGAAGCATCTTTCAGACCGTCAAACCTCAGAGGGAAGGCAGGGGAGAGTGGGGGTAAGGGAGATAGATCAACCAAAGGACTTGTATGCATGCGTATAAGCATAACCAATGGACACAGACACGGGGCGGGGGCGGGGGCTGTTGAGGGCGTGAATGGGGGGATTAGGAGGCACTGGGGAGATAAGGACACATATGTAATACCTTAATCAGTAAAAAAAAAAATAGTATAAAAATTCTCCATCTTAAATTAGTATTCAAATGGGCACAAGCAGTATCTGTATTGACAAGCGTAGCCTGTAGCAAAAGGAAGTGCTCTATAGAGTCCTTCAGAGAAATACACTTTAGGATGAAAAGCCTCAGCAAGAACAACTGAAAGTTTGAATATTTGTTGTTGTTAACCTAGAGCAGTGCCGCTGAAGACAGAGGGGCCCAAAGAATTCTGCTGGATGAATGGGCTCTGACAGGTATGCGGCTAAACATGTCTGTCTCCCCTGCAGTGCCCACCAAAGGCTCCTATTTCACCAGCTCCAGAGTGGGAGGCAAGCGGGGCGTGATCAAGGAGCTCGCAGTCACACTGCAAGGTCCGGAAGATAGCACCCTCCTGTTTGAATCGAGGTTTGAGAGTGGGAATCTGCAAAAAGCTGTCAAAGTGTGAGTAACAAAGTGGGTCTACACAGCGGGATGTGATTAAAGTGACTGAGAAGTGTCTTCAGGAATCATAGTACGCCCTAACCAGTTTGGTTCAGTGGATAGAGCGTCAGCCAGTAGGCTAAGGGGTCTCAGGTTCGATTCCGGTCAAGGGCATGTACCTTGGTTGCGGGCATATCCCCAATGTGGGTGTGCAAGAGGCAGCTGATTGATGTTTCTCTCTCATCAACGTATCTGACTCTCTTTCCCTCTCCCTTCCTCTCTGTAAAAAATCAATAAAATATATATTTTTTACAAAAAGGATCATAATAGGAGCCAGGAGTGTTTATGAAAAAGAAGTGAAGGGAAATGATTATGATAAGAAATGGACTAATTATAGCTCATATTTCTCCCCCCCCCAGAATAAAAATTTATCTAAATTATTTTTCTGCTTATAAAAGAAATTAGTGCTCATTTACATTTTTATTAATAAAAATACATAACAAAATTTTGAATCCTATAAGCATGACTCCTAGACACAACAATTGATAACAGTTTGATGTCTATGCATTAATTTTTTTCTCTCTGTGTGTAATACACAAAAATTACATGTTTTTAAAAATAGGGTAATGGTGTATATATTTGGACACTTTTTGCAAATTGGTTTTTTTCCACTTAGTACAATTTATTTTATTTCTTTTTTGTTAATCTTCACCTAAGGATATTTTTCCATTGATTTTTAGAGGGAGAGGAAGGGAGGGAGAGCAAAAGAGAAACATCGATGTGAGAGAGACACATCAATTGGTTGCCTCCCGCACATACCTACAACCAAGGAACGGGCCCTTGACCAGAATCAAACCCTGACCCCCCATGCTCTGTCCAGAGTCAAATCAGATAGGGCTCCACTTAATACATTTTAGATGTTTTTCTATGACAATACCACAGACATATGTCCTTATTTTTAATAGTTCATATTATTTCATTATATGAATGTTACATACCTATTTGCCCTATTCCCACCTAATGAGAAATTAAGACATTTACAATTTTTTATTAAAAGAATGAACAGAATTAACACCCTTGTGAATACTAAAATACTTTTTAGTATTTGTGGTGTTATGGAACAAATTCTGATATAAAATTGGCGGGTCAAAGGGTTTGAACACTGTGCATTGCTAGTTTTTGCCCCAATGCCCTCCAGCATGATTTCAGTTACCATCAACAGTGTACGAGAGGGCCTGTTTCCCAGTGTTGAAATGTTGATGAGATGGAGAGGGAAAAGACCAACATCCTGTTTTAAGCTGTATTTCCTTAATGATGCATACGGATGAATATCTTTTCATGTTTTTAGCATTTGTATTTCCTCTTCTGCAAATTAGGCCTGGTTTTTTCCCCCACAAGGTACATGTATTCCAGCAAAGCCCCCTTATCTTCAGACAATTGATGATAAGAGAGAAAAATAGCACAGGAAGCCAGAGAGTCCAGGATATAGGTACAGCCCACAGAGGGCTCCAGCTCCCCTGAGTTCAGTGCGTTTCGGGGGAAAAGGATTGAAGTGGTTGGAAACCACCTTCTAGGCTCCGGAAAGGCACCAGGAAGCTCAGCGCTCCCAAACATCCGGTGAAACGTGTGAATTATGAGTCTCTTCTGTCCCACACCCAATGCACGTTCTTCCCCCAAGTCCCTGTGAGCCTAACATATGAGATGGAGAACCAAGTAAATTAGAAAACAAACGTTTGATGTCGCAGCCTTTCTGTTGTAATAAGATCTATTTTTATCAGGGGGGGGGGGAAACAGTGTTTTCCCGGATTACTTTCTGAGGGAGGTATTACAGAGATATTCTATATTCTTCATCACAGAGACACCTATGAGTATGAACTCACCTTACGAACTGACCTCTACACAAACAAACACACGCAGTGGTTTTATTTTCGAGTTCAAAACACCAGAAAAGATGCCACCTATCGCTTCACCATCGTCAACTTGCTAAAACCCAAGAGCCTTTACACCATAGGGATGAAGCCGCTCATGTACTCCCAGCTGGATGCCGAGACCCGCAGCATTGGCTGGAGGAGGGAAGGAAGTGAAATCAAGTACTACAAGAACAGCACGGAGAACGGGCAGCTGTCCTTTTACTGTCTCACGTGGACCGTTCAGTTTCCACACGACCAGGACACTTGCTTCTTTGCCCACTTCTACCCATACACATACACGGATTTGCAGTGCTACCTCCTGTCCGTGGCAAAAAACCCTATCCAGTCTCAGTTCTGCAAACTCCGGACTCTATGCAGGAGCCTCGCGGGAAACACCGTCTACCTGCTCACCATCACCAACCCTTCGCAAACTGCGAAAGAGGCTGCTGCCAAGAAAGCCGTGGTCCTGAGCGCCAGGGTCCACCCTGGGGAAAGCAACGGCTCCTGGATCATGAAAGGCTTTTTGGACTTCATCCTTAGCAGCTCCCCAGACGCCCAGCTGCTCAGAGACATCTTTGTCTTCAAAGTGGTCCCCATGTTAAATCCGGACGGAGTGATTGTGGGGAATTACCGGTGTTCGTTGGCTGGCAGGGACTTGAACAGGCATTATAAAACCATTCTGAGGGAGTCTTTCCCCTGCATCTGGCACACCAGGAACATGATCAAGAGGTGAGTCCCCCTGCTGAAACTGGTTTGGCTCAGTGGATAGAGCGAGGGCCTGTGGACTGAAACAGGTCCCAGGTTCCATTCCGCTCAAGGGCATGTAGTACCTTGGTTGCGGGCACATCCCCAGTAGGGGGTGTGCAAGAGGCAGCTGATCGATGATTCTCTCTCATCGATGTTTCTAACTCTCTATCCCTCTCTCTTCCTCTCTGTAAAAAAATCAATAAAATATATTTATAAAAAATTTTAAAAAGAGGTGAGTCCCCTCCTCTGTTGGACTTTGCCTGGTTACTGCGAGCACTATCTAATGGCAGGGACTAGGGGGAGAGAGGAGGTCTCTCCTAATGTTGTAGGAATTGGAAATGTCTTTGGAGACAGTCTTAAAAATATATATATATATATATATATATATATATATATATATATATATATATATATATATTTGTATTGATTTCAGAAAGGAAGGGAGGAGAGAGAGATAAAAACATTAATGATGAGAGAGAATCATTGACCAGCTGCCTCCTGCACACCCCACACTGGGGATCAAGCCTACAACCCAGGCATGTGCCCTGACCAGAAATTGAACCATGACCTTCTGATTCATAGGTCAATGCTCAACCGCTGAGCCATGCAAACTGTCTCTTACCATTTACATTTTCTTTTTTTTCTTTTCTTTTTTTTAATATATTTTATTGATTTTGTACAGAGAGGAAGGCAGAGAGCTAAAGAGCTAAAAACATCGATGAGAGAGAGTCATCGATCAGCTGCCTCTTGCACACTCCCCTACTGGGGATATGCCCGCAACCAAGGTACATACCCTTGACCGGAATCGAACCTGGGACCTTTCAGTCCTCAAGCCGATGCTCTATCCATTGAGCCAAACCGGTTTCGGCACCATTTACATTTTCTATCTCTCCCTCTCCCTTCAATTTTTATTGAAATCAATAAAAATCTGTTTAAAAAAAAAGAAAATATAAATGGTGAGCTAACATGTCATCTACTTACCATAGTACCCAGCACACTGTTAATGTGCAGCATTGTTATCACACTGACCACATTTGGAAGGTTGAATAGGTGTCCTGGGTGATCAGGAGGTCAAGAAGATCTGAGTCTTATAGGAATGAGCCCTGGAAAATGAGGACCCAAGGCTTTCTTTGGTTCTTTTTTTCTCCCTGCAATTACAGCCTCTCTACCTCTCCCCTCTTTCCACAGGTCTGCACCTGGGTGGGCTTTGTTTCAGCAAATTTTCTCCACTTCCTTGTCCACTTACACAAGGCCTACCCACCTCCCCTTTCCGTGTCAGCTCATCTCAAGTCCTGTCAGGCAGGGGCAAGGAGTACTGATGCCGTGTTTACAGCAGTGACTGAGGGTAGAGATAGGGTCCTCGGAAGGACATTAAAGGTCAAAGTTTTCTGAGATGAGAAGGTGTCATCATACTTAGGAAGAGACTCAAAAAAAAAAAAAAATCCATGCATTTGGATGTCCACTGAGTCCTTGTTTGTTCCCCTTCATAGACTTCTTGAGGAAAGGGAGGTTCTCCTGTATTGTGATTTCCATGGCCACAGCCGAAAGAACAACATCTTCCTCTATGGCTGCAACAGCAACGATCGCAAGTACTGGCTTCACGAGCGAGTCTTTCCTTTCATGCTGAGCAAAAATGCACCAGACAAGGTAAGCACACAGGTAGTTTCCTGCTCGCTGACTGTGGAAGAAGGAGACTCTGCTTCTCCTACACAGTAATAGTGTTTGATTTGCCATTGTCTGTCCTTTTTTAAAAATATATATTTTATTGATTTTGTACAGACAGGAAGGTAGAAACATCGATGAGAGAGTCATCGATCAGCTGCCTCTTGCACACTCCCTACTAGGGATATGCCCGCAACCAAGGTACATGCCCTTGACCGGAATCGAACCCGGGACCCTTCAGTCCCCAAAGCCGACCGGTGCCCTGACCGGTTTGACTGAGTAAATAGCGTGTCCAGCCATGGACTGAAAGGTCCCAGGTTCAATTCCGATTGAGGGAATGTACCTTGGTTGAAGGCTTTATCATCCCCAGTAGGAGGTTTTCAGGAGGCAGCTGATCAATGTTTCTCTCTCATCGATGTTTCTAATTCTCTATCCCTCTTCCTTCCTCTCTGTAAAAAATCAATAAAATAATTTAGAAAGGTATAGTTTTAAGAATTACTCTGTGTCCACCAACTGACCAGCAGATTAATAAAACGCAGTATGTGGAGGGAATGGAATGTGGTTCTGCAATAAAAAGAATTAATTGCTGATATGCGAGGACATGGAGGTACCTTGAAATCACGATGCTAAGCGAAAGAAAAAAATGAAAGAATAAAATCACCACATATTGCATGATTCCATTCTATGCAATGCTATAGAGACAGAATGTAGTTTAGTTATTGCCTCAGTCTTGGGACAAGTAGCATAGGGAGTGACTGCAAATGGGTACTGAGTTTTAGGAAGGTATTAAAAATGTTCTAAACTGCCGGGACTGGCCAGGACTGGTTTGGCTCAATGGATAGAGCGTCGGCTTGGGGACTGAAGGGCCACAGGTTTGATTCCAGTCAAGGGCATGTACCTTGGTTGTGGGCATATCCCCAGTAGGGGGTGTGCAAGAGGCAGCAGATCAATGACTCTCTCTCATTGATGTTTCTAACTCTCTATCTCTCTCCCTTCCTCTCTGTACAAAAATCAATAAAATATATTTAAAAATAAAATAAAATAAAATAAAATAAAATAAAAAATAAACTGCCGGAACCGGTTTGGCTCAGTGGATAGAGTGTCGGCCTGCACCCCGGGTTCGATTCCGGTCAAGGGCATGTACCTTGATTGCGGGCACATCCCCAGTAGGGGGTGTGCAAGAGGCAGTTGATCGATGATTCTCTCTCATCAATGTTTCTAACTCTCTATCCCTCTCTCTTCCTCTCTGTGAAAAATCAATAAAATATTTTTTTAAAAATGTTCTAAACTTGTATTACAACTTTGCAAATATACTTAAACCATTGACTTGTGTACTTTTAATGTGTGGATTTTATGGTATGTGAATTATCCTATATAATAAAAAGCTACAATAGTATGCAAATTGACCAAACAGTGGAATACCTGGTCACTGTGATGCACACTAACCACTGTGTGCTCTCCGCCCACCCAGGGCTTTTGGGCTGCAGACTGTGAGAGCACACAGGCCAGGCTGAGGGACACCTCCCACCCTCCCCGAGTGCACAAATAAAGGTGATTTTTTAAAACTGCTCTGGCTGCTTTGCCTGGGCACAAGTTCAAACTTTTAGTAGTAGAGTAATCTATCATTAACCCTGTGATTTGCAGTGAAAGCAGGGATTGCAGGATAAACAAAATGCTAATGTTACATGAGCCTCCAAGGAAAAGTTTGTGTAATGCAAGATCACAAATAACAAAGATATTAATGGGCTAATGAAAACAACAAGCTTTTGATAATTGGCTGAGTGTGATAGTCAGACATATACAGAGTATCTGCATTGATTTAGAAAGTTGGTTTTCAGCATCATAAATACATCCACAACATGTAACTGTCATTATAATGAAGAAACTGGATTGGATTCAGGAAAACATTTAAATTATAGTACACATTTTCTCACATAAATATATTTAAGACAAATATTTTGTACCTACTGCTCTATTTAAAAAATAAAAAAAAGAGGAAGCTTTTCTTCCTCTCTCTTTCCCTTCCTTCATTCCTTCCTTTCTTTCTTCTTTATTTATTTATTTGTTTTTGTTATTGTTGTTGTTAATTCTCACCCAAGGATATTTTCCCCATCGATTTTTAGAGAGAGTGGAAGGGAGAGGGAGAGACAGAGAAAGAAAAACATCAATATGAGAGAGACACATCAGTTGATTAATGGATTGCCTCCCGCATGCACACCAACTAGGATCTGGATTGAGCCTGCAACCGAGGTACGTGCCCTTGACCAAAATCAAACTCAGCACCCTTCAATCTGCAGGCTGATGTTCTAATCACTGAGCAAACAGGCTTGGGCATTCCTTTTTTCTTTTTCTCAACATTTCTATTTTTGCCAGGTATCTCTTCAAATGAAATCACATCCAGAACCCAGTATCTAAAACAATTAAAAGCAGAACTATATTATTGAAGGAGGGATAGAAGGCTTGGAACATCTGTCCCTCAGTCCTGGGACAGGAATGCCCTGCGGCTCCTCAGTAGAACCCCTGGATTCTATAGATCACAAGTTAGAAACCACGAGGAACTGAGATATTTCCCAGTAAAGCGTTTTCAGCAGGATAGGTGCCAAGTGTTTGTTACAAACTTCAGGAGAGGAGAGAGCGTTGGGGTGGCCATGAAAGACAATGGAGGAAACTGAACTTGGAGCTGAGAACATTGGCATAAGGAAGCAAGAGCATTCCAGGCAGAGACAGTAGTATAGGGCTGAGGCATACACAAATCACATATCGAGGATCAACCCAACCATATCGACGGGTTCAAATTGGAGAGGGGGTAGGAAATAAATCTTAGAAAGGTTGGCTACTAGCTTTGAATGCCAAAGAAAGCCAGTATTCCCAAACAGACACAAGTCCTGCAGAATGCCCCCTGGAGAAGATGGGGAGGAGAAGGAAGGGTTTGTGGGTAACGAAAAGCAGCACACTCTCTCGCCTTTGGAGGATCACAGTTCACAGTGACCTGTTAAATAGTCTGAGAAGTGCTGCAGAGGAAGCCCGTGCCATTTTGCTAGCTCTTTACCTCCCTGGTGAACATGACCATGGAACTCATGTGTTCCTCCACACCACCTGTTAGCATCCCTAGGACACACTTTAGGAAATAATATATAGATTCCCAAGGGAAACATTCTTGTGCCATATCAATGAATCGTCTATATTTTACATTTGCCAGTCTATGTTTAACAGAGGATTTGGATTTCTCTCCAGTTCTCTTTTCACAGTTGTAATTTTAAGGTCCAAAAGTGCAAAGAAGGAACAGGACGAGTCGTGATGTGGCGGATGGGAATCCTGAACAGCTACACCATGGAGTCTACCTTTGGCGGGTCCACCCTGGGTGAGCTCACTTCCGCAGACTGTGGACCAGCGTGGCCAGGGGAGCCACGCAGAGCACAGGGGAGGGGAAGCCCTTACACGTGTTGAGGAGAGAAGTGACATAGAGGCTTTTCTCGTCTGCGCCTTGTGCCAAATCTGAGTCCCCAGAATATGAGTGTGAAATACGACATTTGATGGGGCAATATAGTATAGTGGCTCAGGGCCTGGAGTCAGGCAGATCGGGGTTTGAATTTCCGCTCCATTTATGAGTTGCGAGGTCCTGAGTAAGTTACTTCATTCTTTGAACCTCATCTTCTCTGTGAATGTCAGGAACAGTTCCTGCGTTATGGGTACTGCTTCATGAGCAAGTGCCTGGAGAGCACCGGGCAGAGTGCCTGCCACGGAGCAAAGCGTTATAATAGTAACTATCGCTTCACCATCATAGCCATCACGACTGTAAACATTTTCGCTGTCACAGATCCTTCTGAACCAACCTAAAACTAGAAGAGAAACCCTGTCCAGAAGCATAATATTCTAGAATAAGAGGGGGTGTTTTTAATGAGCTACTCACAAGTTACTTCTGCATTTATTTGCTCATTAAGATTTCATAAGAAATGTTTATGGGGTTTTTTTTTCCAGGCAATAAAAGAGACACTCATTTTACCACTGAGGATCTCAAGTCCCTAGGCTACCATGTCTGCGACACCCTCCTGGATTTCTGTGATCCTGACCCCACCAAGGTAAAAACGGGACTTCAAGAAGTGTGGTGATGCCACTGCTGTGACCAGTTTCTCGTGGGTCCAGAGTCAGCTCATGTGATCTTTATTTCAGTCAGGTGATCTTTATTTCCTCTGGTATTTTTCTGAAGCCTTTATGATCAAAGACAATAAGAAAGGCCCAGCCGGCACACTCTGGGGAAATGGTAAGACCTCAGTTGACGAAGATGATAGAGGCCATTGTTCCCGCTTCCCCTCAGCACGTCTCCCCTCACGTCCAGGCGTGCCCGTGGGAGCACTCATTCTTTCTTTTTTCTAAATATATTTTATTGATTTTCCACAGAGAGGAAGGGAGAGGGACAGAGAGCTAGAAACGTCAATGAGAGAGAAACATCAACCAGCTGCCTCCTGCACACCCCCTACCGGGGATGTGCCCGCAACCAATACATGCCCTTGACCGGAATCGAACCTGGGACCCCTCAGTCAGCAGACCGACGCTCTACCACTGACCCAAACCGGTTTCGGCAAGGAGCACCCATTCTTGATTCCCTTTCTCCCGTTTCAGAAAACCTGCTGTCCTTTGTCTTCCCCAAAACTCACACTGCCCTTTGCGCACCAGCCTCGCTCTCCTACAAGTTCCCTGAGGTCTTGCCTCATTAATAACCTCCCCTCTTTTCTGTATCCTCAGTTTTTTCCTCCTCTTCCCCTCAACTGGAATGTTCTCAAGGTGCTTTTATCTTCAGTCCTTTGGCCTTGTTTCTCCTGCAGGTTATTTCTATTTCCCTTCATCACTCAAATTCTCAAAAAGCAATCTGTGCTCATGGTCTGTAACTCCTCCCTCAGACCCCATCAGAATCGTTGGCTCTGGGAAGACCTGATATACACCACTCTGGATGCAACTGTTTTGGCTTTTTAAAATATGTTTTATTGATTTCAGAGACAGAAAGGAAGAGGAAGAGACAGAAACATCCATGATGAGAGAGAATCATCTACCAGCTGCCTTCTGCATGTCTCCCACTGGGGCTTGAGCCTATAACTCAGGCATGTGCCCTGATTGGGAATTGAACCTCCTAGTTCATAGGTCTATGCTCAACCACTGAGCCACACTGGCTGGACTGGATGCAACTGTTTAAAAATATATTTAAAGGAGAATTTGACCACAACGTGGCTCGTTAAATCAGAGTTGCCATTGGCCAAAATCTGAACAACCCCATTCTAACTTCCTTCCTTACTATTCTAAAATAAAATGAAATTAATCAGACCTTTGGGTTAAGAAGTTTATAATTGGCTATGGGCAGGGGGGGAAAGTGGCTAAAGCAATGTTCATTAGTGTTCTGCCCCAAAAACACTTATTTTTTTAAAATATTTTATTTTTATTGTTGACATTATTACAGATTTCCCCACTTTGTGCCCACCTCCACCCAGACCCCGCCCTCCCCTCCCTCTGGCCCTCATTGTTGTCTGTGTGCATGGCCTATGCATATACTAGTATGTTCTTTGTCTAATCCCGTCACCCTCTTTCATCCAGTCCACCCCACTCCCCTCCCCTCTGACATTTGTCAGTCTGTTCCATGTATCCATGCCTGTTTCTATTTTATTCATCAGTTTATTTTGTTCATTGGCTTTCACTACAAGTGAGATTATGTGGTATTTTTCCTGCCCTGAGTGGCTTATTTTGCTTAGTATAATATATAATCTCCAGGTCCATCCATGCTGTTGCAAAAAGTAAGAATTCCTTCTTTTTTACAGCCACATGGCAATATTTTGTATTCCCACAGCTCATGTAGTTATCTGTTAACATGTCCTTAGTAGCAGTCATTACAACTTACCAATCCTTTTTATTTAATTAAAAAAATTTAATCCTCACTCAAGGATATGTTTTTATTGATTTTAAAGAGAAAGGAAGGGGGAGAGGAGAGAGGGAGGGAGAGAGGGAGAGAGGGAGAGAGAGAGAAAGAGAGAGATCAGTGTGAGAGAAAAACATCAGAGAAAAACACCAAATCTGCCACTGGGGATTGAACCCTCAACCTTTGGGTGTGTGGACGACACTCCAACCAACTTAGCCCTTCCCACCCCTCGTATTTATCTTTACGTCCCCAGCAATAAAGTGCCTTTTAGCATATACACAGTAAATACTAGATGAATAAATAAATAAATAAATAAATAATCAGAGATAGTTTCTTTTTCGTTCCCGCAGTTCATGCAGTGTCTGGTAGAGCTTAAAGAGCTCTTACAACAGGAGATTTATAAGAAATTCAATGAACTTGAATCAGATATGGATGTAGAAAGTCGATGGAACGACATCTCTTTGTCTGACATTGAATCCAGGTAACAAACTTCATTTCCAAGAAAAATCAGAAAAGTTTTACTTTTAAAATTGTTTTGTTTGCTCTGCCCTTTTGTTGGTTTTGAACCTCGGGTGCAAAAACATTAAATAAATCATGGCACACTTAAATACACTTCATTCCTTTGACAACTCTGCATGTGTCTTGACCGGAATCGAACTGGGACCTCCTGGTTCATAGGTCATTGCTCAGCCAGCCAGGCTTCAATGTAATCCTGCCGTTCCCTCTCCGCCTTAGGTCCTCTGACTTTTTCAGAGCACCAAGGAAAGTACTATTCCTCATCTCTGACCTACAGCATTTTACCCCCTCTGTCATTCTGTATCATTTACAACTTGATTGTGTCTCCTGTTTGTTATCTTCCCCTACAAGGATGTAGGTTTCACAACGCCAGAGATCTTTATTTTATTCACTTCTATGTCTCATGCATCTCTACAACAGTACCCAGCACCTGGGGAGAGCTCAGTAAATAATGTAGTATGTAGATCTCAGCCCCACCTCATGGTCTCCTCAGCTCTTTAGGTGGGTGGGTATCTCACATGTGTGCAAGAGCACCATCTACTCCTGCTTACTGGCCAAGGTGCCTCGAGCCTGCACCAGCTGCCCTCAGTCAGGTTTCTGGGCTGGGCATGGAGGCTGCACTGTAGTCTGTGTGGACAGTGGGAAGCGGATGGCTCTACCACACGCCCTGTGGCACAGCGACATCTGACCCTGCTGGCTGAGTCTCCTAGGTGCTGCCTTAGGCACCTTAAACAGACCATCAGGCCCAGTGGAGCGCCCCATTCACCAGGTCTCCTCTTCCATTCTCCCAGAATCCTTTGCCTAACTCCCCAAGATGAGTGCACCAACACCGCTTCACTTTCACCCTCAAAAACTATGCATATCTACTCAAAAAACAGAGCCCAGGGGACTGACTCAGAAACAGACCGCATTCCAGCTGGCTCAGCAGGACGCATTGGGTTAGGAATTATGGAAACCATCTTGCCAGCCTCTGCATCAGGAACCCCCTTTCCATTCTCACCATTTCACAGTAAAACAGACTGAGTGTCCAAGCTCAGTTGGCATTTGCTCCGTCTGGGTGTGTGCACACTGGTTTTGAGCATTTCCAGGCCATTCTGCATCTAATGCTCTAATCCCATTGGTCAACGCTCTGCATTGCCTCTGAAAGGCACCTCAGACACTGTTGTCAGTGACCTCAAAGGCTGCTCCTCAGACTGGAAAAGCCCCACGAGAACCCGGAATTGAGAGTTAGATGGGGGGGGGGGGGGGGGGGGGGGGGCTTTCTTCCCGCTGTCTCCTGTCAGGCTCCTCCTCCTGGTACACTGGCGGGAGGGAGAGGGAGCAAGAACAGAGTGAAAGGGCTGAGCAAAAGGGTGGTTTGAAATGCTGTCTTTTCCCAGATTTGAGTTTTGTGACGAAAACCTTGTTTTATATGGCGCTCATGTTGCAGAGCACAGCTCTCAGTTCTCGCCAGTCACACTCCAGCAAAGGGGAAGACATCATGTGACACACGATAAAGGAAGAAAGGGTTCGCTATCCTAGGACTCATTCATCCTAGGCCTTGAAGACTGGGAGCCGGGACAGTTTGTGGGGGAGGATTTGTGACCAATTTAGACATGCACCCAGAACTTTTGGAAGGTGAATTGGGGTGATGAGAGTAATATTCCTGGTCTCTGACCTATAGAGTCTTTATATTAAATGTATTTATTTATATATTGAACAGATTTTTTTTTTAATTGATTTTTCACAGAGAGGAAGGGAGAGAGATAGAGAGCTAGAAACGTCGATGAGAGAGAAGCTCTGCCCATCTGGCTGGTTTAGTATGTTTTTGGTGTGTGTGTGTGTGTGTTTTAAGATTTTTAACATTGATTTTTAGAGAGAGGAAGGGAGAAGGAGCAGGAGAGGGAGAGAACCAAGATGTGAGAGCAAAATTGATAGCTGTTCCCAACCCGGAACTGAACCAGCAACCCTCTCATGTGCCCTGACCAGAAATCAAACCTGCAACCTTTTGATGCATGGGACAATCAGTGCCCAACCAACTAAGCCACACTGGCCAGGGCTGGTTAATGTTTTTTATTTTTGTTTTGTTTTGTGGGTGTGTTTTTTTGCTACACAGATTGCAAACTCCTTGGTGCAGGAACTCTGCCATGTCCATTTCTGTTTCCTGTGCCTGATGATTGCCTGGCATGCAATCGGCATTCAGAATAAATGAATGAATATGCTTGTCAAGAATTCTTAGCAATTGAAACACAGACAGTGTGGGCAAATAGTGGACTAGATATGCTAACCCCATGCAGATGGTCTGGTAAATGGTATACTTCCAGACATCAGTAACCGGTTTTTCCCTTTTTCTCTCCTTTTGAAAACAGCACCAGTGGTTCTGACAGTTCCCTCTCAGACGGTCTCCCTGCTCACCTCCTGAACATAGCAGATGAGGTGAGATTAGATAGACTCTTATACCCAAAGAGTGGGAGCCTTAAAAAAGCATGACATGGGGGTTGGGGGGGAGGGGCAATGTTAAAATATGTACACAGATAATAATTTAATTTAAAAAAAAGCGCATGACATCACTAGATAATGTGATGGAATTTCCCAACTATTCTAAGATCTGCAGAAAATAGAGCAATAGTGTCCCAACTGGTTATGAAGTCTTTGTCTGTTATAACTTTCATTTTAAAAATATAGAGGGGAGGGTGTGAGGACTCCATATTTATTCCAAAGTTAACTGAAAGTGAAAAAAGAAAGTTTAACTAAAAGTGAAAACCATGTTAAGAAATGGGTTATAAAAATGACTGATACTTGGTTGCCAGAAGGGAAGAGGGTTGAAAAGGTGAATGTCTTGCCCTGACGGGTTTGGCCCAGTGGATAGAGCATCGGCCTGTGGACTGATGGGTCCCAGGTTTGACTCTGATCATGGGTATGTATTTTGGTTGCAGGCACATCCCCAGTGGGGAGTGTGCAGGAGGCAGCTAATTGATGTTTCTCTCTCATCAATGTTTCTAGCTCTCTGTCCCTCTCTCTTCCTCTCTGTAAAAAAAAACAAACAATAATATAAATATATAAAAAAGAAAAGGTGAAGGTCTTAAGAAATACAAATTGGCAGTTACAAAATAGTCATGGGGATGTAAAGTACAGCATAGGGAACAGAGTCAATAATATTGTAATAACTATGGATAATGCCAGGAGGATACTGGAAATATTGGGGGACCACTATGTAAATTATATGATTATCTACCATTATGCTGTACACCTGAGACTAATAAATAATATTGAATGTAAATTGTAATTGACATTTTAAAGTTGTTTTTAGTTCTTTTATTTTAAAAAAATGACCCATAATTTTTTTTATTCAATAAAAGCATTTATTTAAAACATTTTTTTTTATTGATTGACTTTAGAGAGAGAAGGGAAGAGAGAGAGAGAAAGAGAGAAAGAGAAAGATATCAACTTGTTCCGTTCATGTATGCATTCATTAGTTGATTCTTGTATGTGCACTGACGGAATTGAACGCAAAATCTTGGCATGTTGGGACAATGTTGTAACCAACTAAACTACTTATCAGGAATAAAAAGTGTTTCTTTATTCATGTAGTCTTAGATAGTTTTTTATACTTTCATGTATTATGTAACTTATTAAAAATATATATTTTATTGATTTTTTACAGAGAGGAAGGGAGAGGGATAGAGAGTTAAAAACATCGATGAGAGAGAAACATTGACCAGCTGCCTCCTGCACACCCACTACCCGGGATGTGCCCGCAACCAATGTACATGCCCTTCACCAGAATCAAACCTGGGACCCTTCAGTCTGCAGACCAATGCTCTATCCACTGAGCCAAACCAGTTTCAGCTATTATGTAACTTTTTTTGCCCCATCTGTTCACAGACTTTTTCTTACATAGGTGGTATAAAAGATGATATTTACAAACAATAAAATATTTCTTATTGTTTATTATGCACATGATTTTCTAATTGCATTAAGAAATATCTCCATCATAAAGTGAGATTAAGGCTGTCTGGAGGAGCCAGCCAATTTATACTCAGCCTTACAATTTCTTCAACTGTATTTACAGCAACATCAGATTAAGCTTCACCACACCATAGATACCTAGAAAATTTGTCCTGAGCTTCATTTGCTTGAAGTAACAACCAAATTGAATCTTTTTGGTGGTGTTGTTAATCCTCACCCGAGAATATTTTTCCATTGATTTTTATTTTTTATTTTTTATTTTTTAAGCACATTTTCTTTATTAAATTATTATCTGTGTACATATTTTAACATTGCCCCCCCCATACATACCCTCCCTCCCCAGAGTTTTGTGTCCATTGGTTGTACTTATATGCATGTATACAAGTCCTTCGGTTGATCTCTTATCTCCCCCAGATCTCCCTACCCTCCCTGCTGTAATTTTACAGTCTGCTTGTTGCTTTACTGTCTTTATATCTGACTTTTGGTTTGTCAGTTTATAATGTTCTTTAATATCCATAAATGAGTGAGGCCATGTGGTATTTCTCTTTCATTGACTGGCTTATTTCACTCCGCATGATGTTCTCTAGTTCTATCCAGGTTGCTGCAAATGATGAGAATTCCTTCTTTTTTATGGCAGCATAGTATTCCATTGTGTAGATGTACCATAGTTTTTTTATCCAATCATCTGCTGACGGGCACCTAGGCTGTTTCCAGATTCTAGCTATTGTAGATTGTGCTGCTATGAACAAAGGGTGCATATATCCTTTCTGATTGGTGATTCTAGTTTCTTGGGATATATTCCTAGGAGTGGGATTACTGGGTCAAATGGGAGTTCCATTTTCAGTTTTTGAGGAAACTCCACACTGTTCTCCACAGTGGTTGCACCAGTCTGCATTCCCACCAGCAGTGCACGAGGGTTCCTTTTTCTTTTCCATTGATTTTTAGAGAGAGTGGAAGAAAGGGGGAGAGACAGAGAGAGAGAAACATCCATGTGAGAGAGACACATCATTTGGTTGCCTCCCACTCACACCCCAACCAGGGCAGAGGATTGAACCTACAACTGAGGTACATGCCCTGACTGGAATTGAACCTGAGACCTTCAGGCTGCAGGCTGACGCTTTATCCACTGAGCCAAACCAGCCAGAGCCCAAACTGAATCTTTTAACCACACATCAAATAATCAGTATTGTCTGTACCTGACATTATTGCCATAAGTAATCTGGTTTTTGTTTTTTGTTTTTAAATATATTTTATTGATTTTTTTACAGCGAGGAAGAGGGAAGGATAGAGAGTTAGAAACATGGATGGGAGAGAAACATCAACCAGCCGCCTCCTGCACACCCCCCACCGGGAATGTGCCCGCAACCAAGATACATGCCCTTGACCGGAATCAAACCTGGGACCTTTCAGTCCGCAGGCCGATGCTCTATCCACTGAGCCAAACAGGTTTTGGCAAGTAATCTGGTTTTAAATTATAAATCACAAATATTTGGTCATTGGTGTAGGACCCCTTCTCTAGTATACGTATAATAGTCGGATTTGGGGGTTGTTGAATGGGGAGCAGCCTCTGGTAAGGAGGTACCAGCTATTTGTTCTTCAAGCCAACAACTTCACACTGAGGGCCACACACTGGCTTAGCCGTCATGTCTTGAGTGTTGTGTGACGAGAGTCCTCTGGAATCCTCACTGACTAGTTTCTCTGCACTTTTTAAAATAGTTGGATCATAAGAAGAAAGTGTACAAGAAGAAAAAGAAGAAGCCCCTTCAGACGAGGAAACAACGAAATGAACAGTATCAGAAAAATAATATGATGCAGGAGTTCAAGTCAACAGAAGATGCCCTGGTAAGACAGCTCTGCTGCGCTGCTTCTCCTGTCCAGTTAAAGAGGCTTCCATTCACGGCAGGACTGGGGGCTAAGGTTTACTCTAAATCAGAAGGGGGTCAGAGGTGAAAGCTTTCTGTCTTGAGTTCAGAGCTCTCTCATGGTCCTCTGGACATCTCTGAGCAGCTGCCAGCCGTGGCCCACGGGCCCTCTGTGCACTCTGGAGCTGCAAGTCTGGGCGTTGACCACGTCTGGGTTTCCAGAGGGAAGTGGTGGAATGGCTGGCAGAGGAGTGGCCAAAGCTGCTCAGGGTTGCTGGGTGCTGAGAGGTCAGGCCTGGCCCAGGCTAAGACCCCTGAATAGCTCCTTCCTTGTCTTTCTCCCAGCTGATGTACCTACATTATTCCCTCTGCTTTCTAAAGGTGAAAATGCTTTCGGAGTGGGAGTTTTACTGTTGGGTGAATTGGTTCAATTATGAGCAGATTCATTGCAATTGATCAATTGAAAAACATTCTCTTTACACTAATCCTTCTAGAAAATGCCAGGATTTGCTTCCACGATGCAAAAGCAGCCTACCTTTTTAAAAATTTCTGAGAATGCCAGTTCTTCAACAGTAAAAAATGAAAGACCAAGGATGAATGAGGTAATGTTTTTTTGTCTGTTGGTTTTTCTTTTGCTTTATTAAGGTATTACACATGTGTCCTTATCTACCCAATGTTCCCCTGTCCCCCAAGTCCTGCTCTCACCCTCACCCCCCCCTGTTGTCTGTGTTGTTGGTTAGGCTTATATGCATGCATACAAGTCCTTCTCCCCTTTACCCCCACCCTCTCCTACCTTCCCTCTGAGGTTTGAGCATCTGATGGATGCTTCTCTGTCTCTAGATCTGTTTTTGTTCATCGGTTTATGTTGTTCATTATAATTCACAAATGAGTGAGATCATGCGATATTTATCTTCCTCTGACTGACTTATTTCACTTAGCATAATACTCTCCAGCTCCATCCAGGCTGTTGCAAATGGTAGGAGTTCCTTCCTTTTTATAGCAGCATAGTATTCCATTGTGTAGATGTGCCAAAGTTTTTTAATCCACTCATCTGCTGATGGGCACTTAGTCTGATTCCAAATCTTAGCTATTGTATATTGTGCTTCAGCATAGGGGTGCATATGTCCTTATGAGGTAATGTTTTTGCTTGACTTTTTTTTTTTATTCATTCATGGAAAAAAATGTATTAAAACTTTTTTTGTAATTTTTTAAAGTGTACAACGTGATGATTTGATGTGTATACATTGTGAAATGATTCTCACCATTGAGTTAACTAACACATCCATTACCTCACATGGTTATCTTTTTTCTTTTGGTGAGAACATGTCCAGTTCTACTCTCAGCAAATTTTAATTACACAATGCAGTATTATTAACTATAGTCATCATGTTATACATCAGATCGTCACACCTTGTCTGATAACCAAAAGTTTGTACCCTTTTACCATCCTCCCCCTATTTGCCCCACCTCCCAGTCGCTGGCAACCACCATCTACTCTGTTTCTATGAGTTTGGCTTTTTCAGGTTCTACATATAAGTGCAATATTTGTCTTTCTCTGTGTGGTTTATTTCACTTAGCATAATGTCCTCCAAGATCATCCATGTTGTCACGAATGGCAGAATTCCCTTCTTTATTATGGCCAAATCACATATGTTTGCACATATTTTTTCTCATTCAATAGATTGCCTTTTCATTTTTTTTTTTATTTTCTTTGCTGTGCTTTTTAGTTGATGTAGTTTCACTTGTTTCTTTTTTCTTCTGTTTTCTTTGCTTTTGTTGTCAAAACCAAAAAATCATTGCCAAGACCAATGTCAAGGAGCTTATTTCCTATGTTTTCTTTTAGGAGTTTTAGAGAATCAGGTCTTAAATGTAGGTTTTTAATCTATTTTGAGTTGACTTTTGTGAATGGTGTAAGACAGGGGTACAGTTTCATTCTTTTACATGTGACTATCTAGTTTTTGCAACACCATTGTATATTCTTGACTCATTTGTGTAAAAAATTAAAAGACCCCCCCATATGCATGAATTCATTTCAGGGCTCTATATTCTGGTCCATTCTTGACTCTCTGTCACACCGATTCTCTGACTTCTCCAATCAGTATGTCTTCCCCACAGGGCGGAGAACGCAGTAGCCCTCCATGTCATCCTTGCCTGCCAGTGCCACTGGGAGCAGGGGAACTTTACATTGGTGGGGAGACTGGCTGTGCAGTAGATTACACACCACTGAGGTCCGACACCGAATACTGGCGATGTGTGACTTTATACCCGGAACATAAGAACAGGCTGTTTTACCATCCATCCAGCCGTTAATTCAACAAATTGTATTGTGTAACCACTATGCGCCAGGCCCTCTCCTGGGTGTGGCGAATATGACATTGAACAAAACACTGTCCCTGCCTCAGGGACCTTAGAGTCTGGGCTGGGGATCTGACAAGTAAACAGCAAATGACAACAGAATAGGAAGCAGGGATCACGGAGAAGCACCTAACCAGCTTTTGGTACTTTGGAGTTTTGCGGTTCTCAAGTCCCTGGTTCTTTTATGAATAAATATAAGTTCTGGTACAACGTAGCTGCTTCTTGGTGGGTGGAGTGTAACATTGGCCCTCCTCTGGCAGAATGTTACCCCGTGAGTAACAGGGAGATAATGGGGCCCCGCTGTGTCACACTGAGGCACCCTCACAGGCACAGCCATCTCCATTCAGTATTGAGGGACACCTGGGGTCTAGTGTAATAGTGACAAGGAAACAGCTCTGAATTCTGTCTTGTGTTCAAACATCACCCCCCGCCCCCTATGTAATTTAATGTGAGATACTTAACCACCCTGGGACTCCGTTTCTGCATCTAAAATATCTATAGATATAAAAGCCTAAACAACCATAACAACTGGACAACCAATCGCTATGACATGCATTGACCACTCTGGGGCAGACATTCAATGCAGGAGCTTCCTCCTGGTGGTCAGTGTGCTCCCACAGCCATCCTCCTACGGCCGGCCCCCATCAGCCTGGTCAGGACTGGGCGAGATGGGCCCCAATCGGCACCAATCACCAGCCAGGCCGAGCGACCCCACCTGGGCATGGATTCCTGCACCGGGCCTCTAGTTATGGTAATAATATCAACAACGTAAGGTTGGTTGAGAATATTAGATGTGAATCTGTGTGTAAAGGGCCTGGCATATGGTAGGTATTCAATAAATATTATTGAATTATTTGAATTATTTTCTTTGAATTATTTGTTTGTGTCCTGCCTCTCTTTTTGTGTTAGAGTATCATAATGAATCAACATACATGAGAAACACTCAGAGGACGTATGTTCTAATACACTGATCCAAGTAGACATTTTAATGAGAATGTGTTCATTTATTCTAGTCACAGTTAAATGGAAGAGACAAGGGCATCTCCCTGGACCCACCAAAGGCAACTGGCTTGATTCTGACTAAAAAGAAAGAAAGAAAGCAGGTATTTCACCTAATATATGTTATACCTATATGCTGGTGATTTACTTTATTTGGTTTTGAAATGTATTATGTGATTTGGTTTCACCTTCTCAGATTTGTTCTGCTCAGGTGAACGCCCAAGGTAATTGGCACCCTCAGGCTATAAACCACTGACCACCCGGGGGCACAGCCCACAAGGTACTAAAGGACGCAGACAGCCCTCCCAGAGCTAACAGCTTGCCATGGAGAAGTTACCTTTATTCCAAGGAACATTGGTTAAGCAGCTGTTATTTGGTAACTCCAGGCAACGTCTCAGGGAAAACAGAGATAGCCTAAAGCAGCACTGCTCACCTCAAGGAGCTATCAGCAGCCAGCGGGATAGGGTAGGGGCGCCGCCTTAAGCTATGACGTGTGCCCCACGCACCGTGTTACAAGGATCCTTCAATGTGAGGTTTGAGAATGGTTTGCTTCATTAGAAGAATAAGTTAGCATGAGCCGAAACCGGTTTGGCTCAGTGGTGGAGTGTCGACCTGAGGACTGAAAGGTCCCAGGTTCGATTCCCGTCAAGGGCATGTACCTGAGTTGTGGGCACATCCCCAGTGGGTGGTGTGCAGGAGGCGGCTGGTGGATGTTTCTCTCTCCTCGACGTTTCTAGCTCTCTATCTCTCTCCCTTCCTCTCTGTAAAAAATCAATAAAATATATTAAAAAAAAATAAGTTAGCGTGACGCTAAACAATCAATAATATATATATATAATTGATTTTTTTTCAGAGAGAAAGGGAGAGGGATAGAGAGTTAGAAACATTGATGAAAGAGAAACATCAACCAGCCGCCTCCTGCACACTCCCCACTGGGGATGTGCCCGCAACCAAGGCACATGCCCTTGACCGGAATCAAACCTGGGACCCCTCAGTCCGCAAGCTGACGCTCTATCCACTGAGCCAAACTGGCCCCGGCTAAATATATATATATTTATTTATTTATTTTTATTGATTTTTTACAGAGAGGAGGAGAGAGGGATAGAGAGCTAGAAACGTCGATGAGAGAAAAACATTGACCAGCTGCCTCTTGCACACTCCCTACCGGGGATGTGCCCGCAACCAATGTTTAAAAAAAGAAATATTCAAAGTGATGAACAGGAAGAACCTAGATTACTCTACCCAGCAAAGCTATCATTTAGAATTGAAGGTCAGATAAAGAGCTTCACAGACAAGAAAAAGCTAAAGGAGTTCATTACCACCAAACCAGTATTACATGAAATTCTGAAGGGCATTCTTTAAGAAGAGGAAGAAGAAAAAAAAGATAAAGATAAAAAATTATGAACAACAAAGTGACAACAAATACATATCTATTAACAAGTGAATCTGAATCTAAAACTCAAATGAATAAAAAATATGATGAACAGAATAAACTGGTGAATGTAATAGATCAGGGGCATGGAAATGGAGTGGACTGACAATTCTCAGGGGGAAAGGGTGTGGGGTGCGTGAAGGGATTGGACAAAGATCTTATACCTATGGACATGGACAGTGGGTTGGTGAGGTCCCGGGGTGGGGTGGGGTAGGAACTGGGTGGAGGGGTGCTATGGCGGGGAGGGGGGAGAGGAACATCTGATCAATATATATTTTTTAAATGTTGCCCATAGACTGCTGGCACTCTGAGAGACAAAGGCAAATGCTTGATTTTCCTCTGCCCTGTAACAACTACCTCTCACTAACTTCTTGTAAACTAACCCGAATCCTTACTCTTAACTTTACAAATTACAACATAAAGCAAGTTCAACTTTTATATCTTGTTTGCACAGAGAGAAAAGCCAGGATTTACATGCTCTTCAAAGAGAAGCACAAACACCGGCAAAGAACCAGATCCAGATACGAAGCCAGACTGGTCCAGGAACAGGTTTCTTGCCACAAAGAGGGGCCACACCACGATGGAAGTGTACCCATCCTTGCACATATACACATACCCGTAGGGCACTGGGGCCACACCACACGGTGGTTCCTTGGCATGTTTTGGGTGAGACGCATTTGTAATGAGGGAGTTGTGTGGTGGGTAACCAAGCTTGTTGGTGGTGTACTGTGTTGTGCATTCACGTGCACTGACCTTCCACTGTGTGCATGCCTTCAAGATGTACACCTCATGAATTAAATTATTTTATAAAATGAAGCTTCATTGTGATGTCTGGAAAAGCTTCCTTTATCAGAAGTTCAAGTGTGTTCTCATGGAACTACCGCACAGAAATACCTCATTTTAACCAATAGATATCCTGTCCAAAATTATGTGCAAATCAATTTTTAAGTGATCAAACTCTGTTTTAAACATATTGTGTGAGTGGGCCATGTCAAAAATGTGTCACAACTTGCTAGTGATGTCAAACTGTGGTATCTCAGACTTGCTCAGGATGTAGTGTTGCCACATACAGAAAACAATTCATGTATTATCCGAAATTTAATGTTACATATATTATGTTCAGCACAGTTATGTAAGTTTTAAAACCCATTGATTAAAATTCTTTCTCTCTAACCAGTTGTTTCCATTGATTGGTTAACTGCATAAGCTTTTGTGAACAGGTATTCTAGATCCCTCACAGCACCTGTGCTGTCAGTGTGCTAGTATCATGTTCAGAAAGGGTCACTCCGGGTCCTGCCAGGCTTCCCATTTGACTTACCTTCTTCCTATCACATTGGGTTGCAGCCCTAAACATTTTTTCTTTTTCTTTTTTTTAAAATATATTTTAATTTATTTCAGAGAGGAAGGAAGGGAGAGAGAGAGATAGAAACATCCATGATAAGCCTAAACCGGTTTGGCTCAGTGGTAGAGCATCGGTCTGCAGACTGAAAGGTCCCGGTTCGATTCCGGTCAAGGGCATGTAACTTGGTTGCGGGCACATCCCCGGTAGGGGGTGTGCAAGAGGCAGCTGGTCAATGTTTCTCTCTCATCGACGTTTCTAGCTCTCTATCTCTCTCCCTTCCTCTCTGTAAAAAATCAATTAAAAATATATATATATATATAAAGAAACATCCATGATAAGAGAATCATGGATCAGATGCCTTCCACTGGGGATCGAGCCCACAACCCCGGCTTGTGCCCTTGACCGGAATCGAACCTTGGGCCTCTCAGTTCACAGGCTGATGCTCTATCCACTGAGCCAAACCGGCTAGGGCCCTATACCTTTTTTCACTTCTCTTATCTATGCTGCTGACTTCAGCTCCCTTTCCTCTGAGATTCTTCCCCAAACTACATGGGCAACTTCTACCCTGCACCAACCACCCTCTCTTGCCAGAGGCTCTGTACCTCTCAATGGCCACAGGTATCAGTGGGGCAGGGACAGTGGATATTTTGTTGGCATCATCAACATACAAATTCATGACTAAAAATACCCTTGCTAAATGATCTCAGACATTGCCTGGTTAGACACTGTTGTTTAGATTGTCAGTTGTATTGATATCTAAAAAAAAATTTCTGGATTTAGTTAGAAGCTACTTATGTTTCTTACCATTCTAAAAGCTACAGTTATATATTATTGTGTGCCAGGATGGGTATATCATTCAATCCTCACAGAGGTATGAAGTAGACATTACAATACTAATTTGTCTAAGATTCAAAGAGGCCCTGTAATGTGCCTAAAGGCACACAGTTACTAACTGGTAGAGGATGACTTTGGAGCAGGTCCATTGAACTTTATTATTTTTAAAAAAAAATTTTATTTATTTTTATTGTTTTTTTTTACAGAGAGGAAGAGAGAGGGATAGAGAGTTAGAAACATCAATGAGAGAGAATCATTGATCAGCTGCCTCTTGCCCATCCCCTACTGGGGATGTGCCTGCAACCAAGGTATATGCCCTTGACTGGAATCGAACCTGGGACCTTTCAGTCCGCAGGCCAAGGCTCTATCCACTGAGCCAAACCAGTTTCGGCAGGTCCATTGAACTTTAAAGACCAAGCTTCCTTCCTGTTCTGTAAACTGCCTCCCCATATCACCTAGCACTGTGCTGAATACAGGACAATATTAATAAAAACTGACTTTTGTCTTTTAATATACAGTTTTAAAAAGATCTTATCCTGTACACAATTTCAGTTAATGATCATTAATCCTGAGAGGTAGTTATTAGTGTTACTCTTAAATTTCAATACAAAATCTGAAAACAAAAGAAGAGAAAATGACTTCTGAATCACTTAGATACTAAAGAAAGCCAGAAAAAGAAAATAAAGTCTTCTTGGCATTTCATTCTCTGTGCCTCACTTTGTCTCACTAAATGTTGTTTGATATAGAACATGTGGGTTGGGGCGGAAGGGGTAAGGACAATGCCTTTTTCTTTTTGCTTCTAAAAGCCTGCACTCTGATGGGCACTTAATTTGTTCATTCATAAGCACCTGGTATGTGCCAGGCTCAATATACAACAATGAAAAAAGGCTTACAGTTCCCAAACTCAGGAGTTTACATCGTAGTATGGAGAAGACAGATAAATTACAACGATATGTGCTACAGGACGCTGTGGTAGGAAACAAGGGGGAAGTAAATTTACAAAAAGGCCAGAGAAAGCATTTCTGAGAAGTTAACATTAATTGAATGAATGCATGAATAGCAACCCGAGTTATTGTTGGCCATTAGTGTGTTTTTTATTGTTCTAACGCTGAAAACCCTTTGGATCTTATGTTGCTGATGCCCAAATGCCAATTGCAGAGGCGAGTCATAACGAAGAATCCTTCCCATTATTTTTCTTCTGACCTTGCCTTAGCTGTCAGGGTCACACACTCCCTATTGCCACGCCCATTCTTCTACTTCCGGGCACTTCTGGTCTGCGCAGGCGCAAGAGAAACTGCCGTTCCTAGTGGCGGGCGCGGACCCCACGGCAAGACGCATGCGCATCAGGCCCGTAGGCCCCGCCCAGACCCTTGCGCGAGCGCGCGAGCGTCAGCCGTTTCTCGGGGCGGCGCGGTGGGCGGGGCCTGGGGGAGAGGCGCGCGCCGCTGGGTGTGCGTGCGCGCGCGCCGCGGGCGGGCCAGTGATCCGGGGCCGGCTTGGTCGCTAGGTGGCTTGGTCTGTCCGTCCGTCCGCGGGTGCCATCATGGCGGACGCGGCCGGTCAGGTGCTCCTGGGCTCCGGTCTCACCATCTTGTCCCAGCCGCTCATGTACGTGAAGGTGCTCATCCAGGTATGAGTCGTCGCCATTCCCCATCCCCGCCCGGCTCCCCTCTTCGGTTGCCGCTGCCCGCCGGCGACGGAGGGCCTGCCGGCTCCAGCCTTCCCGGGCCTTCAGCCGCCCGAGATGCTACTCCGCTGCCCGGTCCTTCCCCGCGGGGACAGCTCCCACCGCCCGCCCCCTCCCGCTGCTGGGGGCCTTCGGGGGGCTCCGCCGCTCTGCCCGGCGGCGAGGCCCGCTCCGTCCCCGCCGCCAACTGCCGCCCTGCCCGGCCCTGCCCTGCCCTGCCCGGTGGCTCCTCTGAACTTTGTGTTTTCTCCCCTGAGGTGGATCTCGGCCGCTCGTCTCCGAGGCCTTCCCCAACCCACCCCCTCGCCTCTCTGAAGTTAGTATTCCCTCCTTTCCCAGCCCAGACCCAAGTCACGCCAATCTGTTAAAATTTGAAATTAGGGGAGAGCGAACGTTTTATTAGCATTATTTTATTTTATTTATTTTTTGACTACTGTTACTGCCGCTCTTCTGTTCCGAGGTTTTAGCCCCAGATAACCCAACACAGGAGCCTTTGAGCGGGGAGAGGGAAGGGGGCCCCGGAACCTGCGGGAGGGTCCCCCAGCGCCCTCGGCCGCCGCCGCTCATGTGGCTCCCGACGCCGAAATCACTTCTGTCCGAGCTGGAAATCAGTTCAGCGGAGAGAGTTTTAGCGGAGTTGAAACATGTTAGTTTCCAATGTGCTGTAAAATAATTCTTAAAGGGTAATTATAGTCACAGGCAGGTAGGCCAGATTTTAGCTGGGGTTAAAGTTAGAGAGTGTTATCCATTGCCTTTTTCATTTCCCTGTGATGGGATGGAACTCACGGAGCTTGCCTTTGGTGAGAGTTGACATACTTACATCATGAATTGTGCCAGGAAGTAGACGCTTTTAGAAGTTCCCTTTGTGCTGGCCAGTGTGGCTCAGTGGTTGAGCCTCCCCCTGTGACCCTGGTCCAGGAGGTCACAGCAAGGGGATCAATGATTCTCTCTCATCATTGATGTTTTATCTCTCCCAATCTCTGCCTTCCTCTCTGAAATCAATAAAAAACAATTATCTGCCGAAGCCGGTTTGGCTCAGTGGATAGAACGTCGGCCTGCGGACTGAAAGGTCCCAGGTTTGATTCTGGTCAAGGCCATGTACCTTGGTTGCGGGCACATCCCTGGTGGGGGGTGTGCAGGAGGCAGCTGGTCAATGTTTCTCTCTCATCCATGTTTCTAGCTCTCTATCCCTCTTCCTTCCCTCTCTGTGAAAAATCAATAAAATATATATATTTTTAAAAAACAATTATCTTTTAAAAAAGAAGTCTACCTTTCTGTCAGAAATATGCAAGACACGCCCTAGCTGGTTTGGCTCAGTGGATAGAGCATCTGACCACGGACTGAAGGGTCCCAGTTCATTCTGTCCCAGGGCAAGTGTTTCCGATGCAGGCTCCATCTCCCGCCCTGGTTGGGGTGAGTGTGGAGACAACCAATTGATGTGTCTCTCACATCTACACTGAATGGCCAGATTATTATGATCTCTGAACGCATAATAATCTGGCCACTCAGTGTATATTCTATATAATTATAGGCTAATATGCAAATTGTCCCCTCGACCAGGAGTTCCACCAGCAGGCAGGCCGTCCAACTGCCCATGTCCCCTCCCTCTGGCCAGGCTGGCCGGCCCCACATATGCACAAATTCATGCACCAGGCCTCTAATATACACTGAGTGGCCACATTATTATGCATTCAGAGATAATAATAAATCTGTCCACTCAGTGTATGTTTCTGTCTCCCCTTCCCTTCCATTTTCTCGAAAAATAGTCTCTGGTGAGGATTAACAACAACAAAAAATATATGCAAGACACTAGGGAGGAAGGACCACATTTCTTATTCTTGAGTTAATGCTAACCCAAATGATGTGCTGTTGAGTTGACCTCTTTGGATTCAGATTCTATATTTAAAATGCTATTGTAAAATAAGTTATTTAAACCAAGAACAAAGACGGGTTGGAATGTATACTGTCATCTAAACCAGAGTTGACAGGTTTGTGGCCAGATGGTATCTCCGATGATAGCATTTTACAGTAAATCTGGTGTGAGTCCATTGCTCAGTACTTTTCCAGAATGTAGTTTTCTAGTGAAATTCAAAGTTTTTGCCTCAAAAACTTGAATATCTTTAATCCTAATTACACAAAATCTACGTGTTGCCAAGTGTCTCAGGGGTTATGGTAAAATTCCCACATACACAGTTTTTAAAAATAGTTGCATAGTTACACTTTCAGGGAGCTCCATCAGGAGTTATTTAATTGAGCAGGTTAAGGATCACAGCAGTAGAGCCCAAACCGTGTCCTACAGCCGTTTCATTCTCTCAAACACTAAAACGAATATATTTTAGAAATAAGATGATAATCATTAACTCTGAAATGGCCATATCTTGTAATTATTCCCCAAGTGAATTATCCAGCTATATTTGCACTTGCGTTTTGAGTGTTTTGTCTTGCTAGCCAAATATGAAGTTGTTAGCTTAGTCTTCTCATTTTGTCCAAATATATGAAATGTGTTAGATTTTCTTCAGAAAATATTTTTGAGCCTCCTCGGTAAACATTTGCTTTCCTAGCACAAAAGTTCCCTTTTTCCATTTTCAGTTTGATATTAGTGTATCTCAGCTAAATAGCTTGCCTTATAGAATTTGAGCCAAAAGAAAACTTAAACCAGTCTTATCAAATGACAAAACAAAACTGTCAAGGATGATGCTTTATCATCCCTTTGGAATACATACACTGCATTTTAACTTGTGTTAAATATTAGCCTTAATTTTGTTCTTAATTCAAGACCTTTCAACCAAGGCATTCAGGGGAATATTGCTAAGTAGTGATATATGCATTCTCTTGTTTTGAAAGGTGGGATATGAACCTCTTCCTCCAACAATTGGACGAAACATTTTTGGGCGGCAAGTATGTCAGCTTCCTGGTCTCTTTTGTTATGGTAAGTGTCTTTGATTTATTTGGAATTGGATGACTTTGAGGATCATGACAGGCAGGAGTTACTGAAAAAAATTGTTGAAAAGCATATTTCCTTGAAATTTCTATGTAACCCTTTCCTTCAACTGGAATTTAAATTTCTGACTTGTGTTCTTAGCTCAGCACATTGCGAGCATCGATGGGAAGCGTGGGTTGTTCACAGGATTAACTCCAAGGCTGTGTTCAGGAGTTCTCGGAACTGTGGTCCATGGCAAAGTTTTACAGGTAAGAAGGAAATTCAGATAATCTTCCTACAGATTTAGATTATCTTTTATGCAGTTTGTCCTACTTATGTATTCCAAATATATATTTATAAGCCATGGCTTTTCTTCTTCAAAAACATTTACATGAAATACCCATTCTTAATTCTATCTTGGAAACCAAAGGGAATTTGGGTGAAATGAAGTAATTGATCTTTATTTTATACAACCTTCTTCCTCTGGACCTGTTGTTCTTTTCCTCACCTGAGGATATTGTTCCATTCATTTTTAGAGAGTGGAAGGAACGGGGAGAGACAGAGAGAGAAAAACATTGATGTGAGAGAGACCCATCAATTGGTTGCCTCCTACATGCACCCCAACCAGGACTGAGGATCGAGTCTGCAGTCTGCCCTTGACCAGAATTGAACCTGGAACTCTTCAGTCCTTGGACCATGTTCTGTCCACTAAGCCAAACTGACTAGGGCTGAACCTGTTGTTCAAGCAAAAATTAAATACGCTTATTTGATTCCCTTTGTAGCTGATTTTCCTTTCTTTGAAGAAGGAAAGCTGATTGAAACATAACTCTTTCTGAAGTTATTTTCCTTTTATTTTTAGAGTAATCCCTAGTAAAATTCTTTCTGTTACAATTTTATTTTTTTTAACAAGATCAACATAAAAATCAGGATAATACTTATTTGTGGGGAGAGAGAGAAGAGGAGGGATCTTGCATAGGGTTCTGAGGTAATGCAAATGATTTTTCTTGACCTGGATCATGACTATATGGATATTGCCTTTTGATTACTTGTTATATTGTACATTTGTATTTTGTGCCCTGTTTCTATTATATATCTGTGTTATATTTGCACAAATTTGAAAGTTTGTTTTAAAACCTCACTAAAGTATACCACTGCAGCCGAAACCGGTTTGGCTCAGTGGATAGAGCGTTGGCCTGTGGACTGAAAAGTCCCAGGTTCGATTCCCGTTAAGGGCATGTACCTTGGTTGCGGGCATATTCCGAGTAGTGGGTGTGCAAGATGCAGCTGATCGATGTTTCTAGCTTTCTATCCCTATCTCTTCCTCTATAAAAACTCCATAAAAAATATATATTTTTAAAAGTATACAACTGCAGGATAGTGATTACTTTTGGGAAGGGAGAAGAGGTAAGGGTGGAATTTAGCTATAACTGTGGCATTTTATTTTAAGAAAGCAAGAGATCTTAAGCAAAAGGGGCAAAATGTTAACATCTATTTAACCTTGGTGGTGGATATAAAGGTGAATTGTTTTCTTAATTTTTCTGTATGTATGAGATGTTTGATAATGTTTTTGAAAACATCAAAGTCAGATTTATTTATTTTTTAGTGATCCTTTGTTTTTTTGTTTTGTTTTGTTTTTTAATAATGTCTTTTTTAAAATAAATTTTATTGATTTTTCACAAAGAGGAAGAGAGAGGGATAGAGAGTTAGAAACACCAATGAGAGAGAATCATCCATCAGCTGCCTCTTGCACACCCCCTACTGGGGATGTGCCCGCAACCAAGGTACATGCCCTTGACTGGAATCGAACCTGGGACCTTTCAGTCTGCAGGCCGACACTCTATCCACTGAGCCAAACCGGTCCCGGCCTAAAGCATATAATTTTAATTGTACTGGTTTCTCAATTGCATCATTACAATGTAGGTGAAACAGCATTGCCCTTTGCCCTATTTATAAAGGTGTTACGAGTACAAATTTTGAATCATTTAAAAAGTCCATGAGAAGGTTATTCAGCATTAGTATGATTGAGAATGCAAAATTAATGGTTTTTTTTTTCCTAATGAATTATTCTGTCTTCTACTGGCACCAAGGGTGTGTTATAACTCAAAAAATATAGAGTGTATGCTAACCAAATCGGTATAATACTTTCAACCTATAATGTATCAGATGTGCAAAATTCTAAATATTTACTAACGGCTTATTTAAATAGTATCCCAGTATAATCCTCCTTGTAATTTTTTAGGCTTTAACATTGCCCCAGCTCTAATGTTTTATCATTTGATCAGCAAATCATGATTTTGTCAAATAGTTGCATGATCTAGTTGGTTTAGATTTTAAGTGCTTTTCAGCCTTGATTTGAGTTGGAGAGGTTTTTCAGTCAGTTTCTCACCTGGAAATTATTTCACCCTCCAGTTATTTTAGTATTCTTTATGTTATTCTTTTTTATTATTTTTTTAATATATATATTTTTATTTATTTCAGAGATGAAGGAAGAGAGAGAGAGGAGGAGCAAGAAACATCAATGATGAGAGAGAATCATTGATTGGCTGCCTCCTGCATGCCCCCTACTGGGGATTGAGCCCACAACCTAGGCATGGGAATTGAACTGTCACCTCCTGACTGGGAATTGAACTGTCACCTTCTCATAGGTCTATGCTCAACCACTGAGCCATACCAGCCGGACTCTTTATATTATTCCTATTGTCATGCCTGTGGACTGAATTTAGAAGCCCAGTTCCCGGTAGTCTGTGGGTCAGAATGATGGAGTATTAATGTTTTTTTGGTGGAGTGATTACTGTTTCTTTTCTAGTCACACCCTTCTCTGGGCTCATTAAAAGTGTTGCTGTTACTTAAAAGAGATTCACATACATAAAGGCAATTGTCATATAGTCAAAAGAGGTTTATGTATAGACTGAGAGCAAAGTGAAATTATTGCTTGAAACCAAATTCCTTTATGAAAAAGGAAAGTAGGACAAACTTGAGGTATCCAAATATCCATTGGAATACGGTATGTGTTTCACGTGTAGTCAAATGAAAATAAATGGGTTGGTACTACATTTAGTATCAAAAACAGTTTATGCAGTCAAGAAGACACACCAAATTAGGGTTGATACAACTGTTAAGCTTTATAAGAAAGAGTTCTATGTATCTGAACAAGAGTTAAACTGAAATCTGTTTGGAATAATGTAGACATGACAAAATTTTATTAATGCAATAAAAAGCAAAGTATAAGTGAAAATTTTTAAACATGCCCAGAACTATTACAATTAATTCTAGTCAAAGACCTCTAATTTGACCAAAAACACTACTTTGTTTAATCTTGATCTTTGTTCTCTTGCCTCTGATCTTTAAAAACATAATTCTTTTTACAAGATAAAGTGTTGTCTTTTTTTAATCATAGTAACCATCTATCTGGTATGACTGGGAGCTTAATTGTCTGAATCTTTCATTTCACCTAGCCCATCTTTTATTTCTGAAATATCCCACAAATGCTATTTCCTCTTTCAATATAGTCTGAGCTCCATCAGTATTCATGTTCTCTTCCCTGGTAGAAAAAAAAAAGTCTCTCTTGCTTGTTTTGGAAAGAGATACAAAAGACAATGTGAGGCGATTTCAGCTATTCAGACTTAGCACCAGTTCTCTCTTCTTTTGTACAGTGAAAAAAAGAGTTTTGCCCTAATTTGGTATTGGTCCTGCTTTTCTCTGTGAAAGACAGGAGGTTTTTTCCATTGCCTTATTCCTAGGCTATGTTTTTAACCAATTTCTTTTTTGTTAAATATGTTTAGTAAATGATGTTCTTAGATTTTTGTTTTGTTTTCCTTTTTCTCCTTTTAGATAAGAGTTTTCTTGAGCATTTGCTTGTCCCTTCAGCTGACTAATATGTTAAACTTAGAAACAAAATTGTCTTAGAGCTACTTCCTTATAATTGACTATTTAAAATTACAAGTTAATGGGAAATTTGCAGCCAAAAAAAAAAAAGTTATATTTTCTACCATAGAGTTTTCGTTTTATGTTCTCTCTCAGTGACATTGTGACAGCCCTTATCATCCTTTCTTTTCTCTTCCTTTGCAGCATTGCCAGGAAACTGAAAAGGTTGAGGTACGTTGGAGCTGATTTGTATGCATGGGCCTATTCCCTTCTTGTTTGGTCCTCTTTTGAAGAAGGGGCAAGCAGACAGTCCCCCTTTCATTTCAGTGAATGTTTGCATACAGGGTGACCTCCTGTTTAACAGTTCTATTTAAAAGATATGTCTTTTATTTGATTTCCAGGAGGTAGGACCAGGAAGTGTACCGAAAGAAGCCCCATCTTCCTTCGACCATGTTATCAAGGAGGTAAGAGATGAGTTATGCCCTATGCTATTTCCCTAAATCAGAGGATTTGCAGTGTGGCGGTTGTAGGATCAGGATCATCAGGCCTGTCTGTGCAGTGTCTGTTCGAAATGGAATTAAACCTTCAGTATAATTTGGTCTTTAATATATATATATATATATATAAAACATTAAAAAAAAGAAGAATAAGAAAAGCATTGCTTGCTGTTTTGAATATGTACATTTCAAGGAAACGTAACTTTGCCACTCGTTTCATCTTTAAAATTGAAGAGGTTTCTACTAAAAGAGTAGAGTTAAAATTCTCTGGTACAGAATTGTTAAAATAGTGGCCAGGCCCTTTGTGTGTTGGATATTATATATCCAGAAATGCTTTTGCAACAATATTCTGACTTTGGAAGATTCCTCATCATCCACTTCCCACTCTTAATCTCTGCCATTGGAGTCTGTTTCATTCCTGACTTAATATTTATGGCTTTCGTAACTACTCTTATTTCTTAGTCTTTACATTATCTAATTGTCTTTAGTAAGGTCACAATTTTCTAGTTAATGCTGCCGTCTAAAATATATATTCCAGCCGAGACCGGTTTGGCTCAGTGGATAGAGCGTCAGCTTGGGGACTGAAGGGCCCAGGTTCGGTTCCCGTCAAGGGCATGTACCTTGGTTGCGGGCATATCCCCAAGTAGGGGGTGTGCAAGAGGCAGCTGATCGATGACTCTCTCTCATCGATGTTTCTAACTCTCTATCTCTCTCTCTTCCTCTCTGTACAAAATCAATAAAATATATTTAAAAAAAAATAATAATAAAATATATATTCCAAAAAACAAACCTTACTGTGGGTCTAGACGTCAGATGAATCAACTTGGTTTTCTTTGGAATGAATTTCCTTAAAAGTTAAGATAGGTATTTTGTCTTTTCTTAACTTTAGTTGCCCATCCTGTCTTATAGGATCTTTTCAGTATTACCGCAAGAATAGGAGTGAGAAATGTCTTAATGACTGAAGATAATGTTTACATGCAAAAATGAATAACCTGCTCTGTTTATAACTGCCTCCAAGTATTGTAATTTAGCTTTCTTTACTATCTTTAAATGGAGTTCTGTAAAAAGAAAGATAAATTAGGATAAATATAGCAGTTCTAAGATACTACAGGGTTATGGGATGTGGTAATAAATAAAAATAAAAATAAAAAAATTTAAGTTTTGTTCTCCCAGAAATGTTGGTACAGATAAAATTGAGCCTCACATTTGTCTAGCATAGTTATGAGTCTCTGAAATCACTCACAATGAGAGAGCCACTTAATAATCTGAATACAGGCCTCATAGTTTTTATTCCAGCTCAGCGACTGCTGATTACTCTCCTTGCTTCTTAAATTTTTACTTATTTATTTTTATTTTATTGATTTCAGAGAGGAAGGAAGTGGGAGAGAGATATAGAAACATCAATGATGAGAGAAACTCATCAATCGGCTGCCTCCTGCACATCCCACACTAGGGATTGAGCCCACAACCTGGACATGTGCCCTGATCACTAATCAAACCGTGACCTCCTGGTTCATAGGTGACGATCCACCACTGAGACACACTGGCCAGGCCCTCCCTGTTTCTTTACTTTTGTCTTTCTTATATGAAAAATTGAGAAGATAATAAATCTCTGCCGAGAAAATTTAAGCAGTAACTGTAACATTGAAATCTGGGGATGAAAGGTATGATACAGTGATGGTGTGTTATATTGTAGTTGTTTAAATTACTTATTCTTCCTGACTTCAGGGCACGGGTGCTGGTCACTCACTTTCTTATTCTATAATATCCACCCACATTACTTCTCACAGGAATTTGAGTGTCATTTATTTAGATTTCAGAGTGTGTGTTATTGTTTCTAGACAACACGAGAGATGCTGGCTCGTTCTGCTGCTACCCTCATCACACATCCCTTCCATGGTATGTTTGCAATTGATAACTGAAATCTGACTTTTCTCTTCTATACCATGATCTCTCCTGACTGCTTAGATGGTTGGCATGGGATTTCAGGAAAGTGCCCTGCCTGCATGTTTTTGTTTGCTTTATGTTTTGGCTTTTATCCAATTTATCCAGAAAGCAAAGTAGCTTTAGGTGGGAAAACCTTTTTTTTCCCCCCAGGGCTATTAAAATTTATCTCGGAAGTCTAAAAAAAATTTTTTTTCTGTGTTCTGTAGTGATCACTCTGAGATCCATGGTACAATTCATTGGCAGAGAATCCAAGTACTGGTAAGTGTTTTTGTTTTCAAGTATTCAAGGAGATCTGTTGAAACCAATGTATTAGAATAATAGTGCTTTAAATTGTTATGTTGCCTTAGTGTTTATAGAACAGTTTATATACCTTATATCATTTGATCTGCATAAAAACCACAAAGTAGTAGAAAATGACCCAGGCAGGTTTAGGAGTTATAAAGCCACTGAAGTTATAGAGCCACTGAAGCCAAAATTCGCACTGTGACAATATCCTTAGGTAGTAGTAATATCTTCAGTTCTGTGCCCAAATTCAACCGCCTTTGCAGAATAAGAGTAATAGAAAGGAGGGTGAGGGGTGGGGGTGGAGGGAATTTGACTTTGTCAGAAATGATAATGGGATATTTAAAAAATAGCTTTAAAAGAATCTTAATGTATTTTACCTTTCTTCTGTATCTAGTGGACTTTGTGAATCCATAGTAACCATCTATCGGGAAGAGGGCATGATAGGATTTTTTGCGTGAGTAAAACACTGATTTGTGTGTGTGATTTTTGTAAGTGGAAATAAGGAAAATTAATTTTTGATAAAAAGAGAAATCATCTAACATGTATCCTGAAAGAATATGTTTTTGCAAGGGTGTATCAATTCCCTTGAATTTACTTTGAATTTAAGGTTGCTCTTCTCTTTCTTTAATTAATAGTAAAAATTGCATTATTAAGTAAATAGTCCTTTTTAATTTTCAGAGTGTTTCTATATAATTGACTTTATTCATGTGTCATAAGTACTCTGGGAAATGGGCAGAACAGCTATGTTATTCTCATTTTAGGTATATATTTTTTAAATGGATGCTCTGGGAAGTTCATTTGATGCTGGTTGTATAGCTGATGTGATAGATGTGACCTTTGAATCTGGTCTTCAGTCTGTAGACTAATTTTTGTTCCTCTATTCCACACTCCTCCACAAAGATCACTGAGATTCTCAAAACATGGGGTTTTTTATGTCTCTTACCTATTTGGATCATTCTCATTTTGTAATTTTTTTCATCTTTTGCCCTGCCAACTTTGAGTATAAAATATAGTTTAGCAAAAACAGTATTTAAGTCTCTTCTCCAAAGTAGTTGTTAATAGTAAGGTGAGCCATTGGCCATAGCTTAAAGGAGTATGGCTGATCTGCATTTTATTTTATTTTTTATTCTTTTATTTTTTAATATATTTTATTGATTTCTTACAGAGAGGAAGGGGGAGAGAGAGAGAGAGCTAGAAACGGCGATGAGAGAGAAACATCGACCAGCTGCCTCTTGCACACCCCCTACCGGGGATGTGCCCGCAACTGATGTACATGCCCTTGACCGGAATCGAACCTGGGACCTTTCAGTCCGCAGACCGATGCTCTACCACTGAGCCAAACCAATTTTGGCTGATCTGCATTTTAAAAAGAGGAATGAAAGTCATTAGAGATTTGCTTCAAGTACAATTGTATTAACTAGAATGAACAACTGGTATTCGATGTCTTTTCCATTCTCTAGAATTTTTTGAAATCTCTAATTCTTTGGGAAGTGTTTGGATTATCTTCTTATTGATCACACTTCTTGATTCTTATTTTTATTGTTTCTCTATGTAGGGGTCTTATTCCTCGCCTCCTAGGTGACATAATTTCTTTGTGGCTCTGTAACTCACTGGCCTACCTCGTCAATACCTATGCACTGGACAGTGGGGTAAGTTGTGACCTTGATGAGATGTGCTAGTGCTAACTTTATTGTATTCACTCGGCAGCTACGGTAGGTTAGTTTTAAAAAGTAAGATAGCAATTTGTTATGTGCCAGATTCATCATTATGTAGCTAAGCATTGGTCAAGTTTTCAAAGGCTCATGGGATGACCCATACTACATACACTGAGTGGCCAGATTATTATGACCTCTGAATGCATAATAATCTAGCCACTCAGAGACCCTGTGCTTGAATTCGTGCATGGGTGGGGGCCGGCCAGCCTGACCAGGGGAAGGGAACATGGGCAGTTGGCCGGCCTACCTTCTAGTCGAACTCCTGGTTGAGGGGACAATTTGCATATCAGCCCTTTTTTTTTTTTTTTTTTTTTTTTTTTCCCCACAGAGAGGAAGAGAGAGGGATAGAGAGTTAGAAACATAGATGAGAGAGAAACATCGATCAGCTGTCTCTTGCACACCCCGCACTGGGGACGTGCCCGCAACCAAAGTACATCCCCTTGACCGGAATCGAACCCGAGACCCTTCAGTCCGCAGACTGAGGCTCTATCCACTGAGCCAAACCGGTTTCGGCCAGCCTTTTATTATATAGGATATACTCTGAGTGGCCAGATTATTATGCATTCAGAGATCATAATAATCTGGCCACTCAGTGTATTTACCATAGAGAAATGTACCTAAAAAGCCCTATGTGTAGCAGAGTAAGCCCAAAAAATTTGCTACAAGGATCACTTCTTTATTGATAGCTAATTGTAGAGGCCACCATGAAACAGGACTGTTTTATAGTTATTCAGTGTGGTTTGTCTAATCTGAAATGTTAAGGTAATCCTGTATTGGGCTTTCTAGAAACGTCAGTCTGGAAGATTTGGGGAATTGGCCTTTCCTAGAAGTAATGTTTCATCCACTTCAGCAGTTGTGGGCCTCTTTGTACACACTCAGCCCCTTAACATGGTGGAAAATAGAATAGTCCCAAGGATATGACTAAATCCATGTTGTAGGCTTCTTGAGTACAGAGGCTGGTCTCCAAAGCATTTAGGACACAGCTGGGTACACATAGAGGTACACCGTAAAAGGAATTTCTAGGACATGGGAAAAGGTTACCAATCTCATTTTCTTTTGAAATCCTCAGGATGTTACATTTGTTCTTAAGCCATCTTATAAATTCATCTACTGTGAATTTATCTGTTAATTTTGAATCAGATTCATCATTTTGACCACTGTCTTTATGTTCATAATCAGTATTTTATGTTTTCATGCTCAAGATTAATTTTCAAGCTGTAAAAATATAATTTAGAGATAGAATAGATGGATATGGTTGGGGACAAACTAGCTGTTACTGTCAACTTCATCTTATTATTCATTCTAATAAAGGCTTCCTTCCTGTTTTAGGTTTCTACTATGAATGAAATGAAGAGTTATTCCCAAGCTGTCACAGGAGTGAGTTGCTGTTTTTTTAAATCCTTTAGCCTTCTAATAATTGTGTGTGTGTGTGTGTGTGTGTGTGTGTGTGTGTGTGTGTGTGTTTTAATTTGGTCTGTATTACCACTGCTTTAAAGCAACCAGATGTTTCCCAGGAAAGTCAGATTTGTTAATGTTTGTCAGAGCTAAGAAGAGCCTAGAGTTCCTACATAATAGTACCAGTGAAAACAAGCCCACATGGTTTGGTGTTCAGCTTTCAGGAGAGGGATGTGGGCATTCTCATCACAGCTTTCCCTGATTCTCAGGGCTGCTTCTCCCCGCAGCCCGTTGATCTTACCGTGGAGAAGGCACCCACTTTGATCATATGGAGCCTTCCAATAGTTGACGTCTGAAATCATTTTCTTTTTTCTCTTTTTAAATATATTTTATTGATTTTTATAGAGAGGAAGGAAGAGGGATAGAGAGCTAGAAATATCCATCAGAGAGAAACATCAATCAGCTGACTCTTGCACACCTCCTACTGGGGATGTGCCCACAACCAAGGTACATGCCCTTGGCTGGAATCAAACCAGTTAGGGCTGAAGTCATTTACATTGTTTTTGGAAGGCTACTCATGTTTCTTTCCTTTTTTAAAAAATATATCTTTATTGATTTCAGAGAGGAAGGAAGAGGGCCAGATAAAAACATGAATGATGAGAAAGAGCCATTTATTAGTTGCCTCCTGCATGCCCCACAATGGGGATTGAGCCCACAACTTGGACATGTGCCCTGACCAGGAATGAAATGTTACCTCCTGGTTCATATATCAATGCTCAACCCCTGAGCACACTGGCGAGTGTTTTCTTATTTTCTTCAGGGGTGTTATTTGCTTTTTCTCTTAAATATTAGTTCAGTTTTGAATGAGGACTCAACCACAAAATAAGAGATTTCTTCTGGCCTTTAGTAAAATGTTAGCTATAATGGTATATTAAGGGAAGGAAGCATCTCAGATTGAAAATTTTGTCGTTTAGTCTTTCCTGGAATACTGAAAAAGCAAAACAAGTATTGGAGTATTTGACCACAGAGGCACTAGGACTTTAAGGAGAAGAAAGAAGAGAAGAAAGGAGACTGATGACCTAATAACTTAGCTGTTGTTTTACTGTTTTACAGTTTTTTGCCAGTATGTTGACCTATCCCTTTGTGCTTGTCTCTAATCTCATGGCTGTCAACAATTGCGGGTAAGTGCTTTGCATTTCTTCTCCTGGTAGTTGGCTGCTGTGTGTTTGACAAGCAGAGAGGTCCTGGTGGAAATGTCAGGGCAAAAAGTACAGTTGATGCTATTATTAGATTTCCAAAATATTTTCTCTGTGTCCCATGTATCAGCAGTGGCATTAATCTATATTAATAAAAGGGTATTATGCTAATTAAACTGGATATCATTCTGGACGACCTTCCTGATAAAGCCAAGGCCAGAGGGAAGCCAAGCTTACATGTCAGCCCAGGTTACAGGTGTCTGAGGGCGGCCCGAGGGAAGCCAACCCGGGCCCCGGGTGCCTGCTGGTGGAAGGAGGAGGGAAGCGGTCTGGGTCCAGGGTGCCTGCAGGAGGGAAGCTGGTGCCAGCAGTCAGGGGAAGGAAGGCCTACTCTTGCACAAATTTTGTGCATCGGCCTCTAGTTTATATTATAAGTTGCCACCTCATATATGTTTTTTTGGAATAAGGGAAAGTATAGATAATATTTCTCAAGTACTTATATACTATTATATGCACTTGCCAGTATAAGTCCTATAAGGACCAGATAATTACCAAATTATTTTATTTTTACGTCTTTCCATTATTTTATTTTATTTTTTACTTTTTTTAAAATATATTTTATTGATTTTTTACAGAGAGGAAGAGAGAAGGGTAGAGAGTTAGAAACATTGATGAGAGAGAATCATCAATCAGCTGCCTCTTGCACACACACATACACACACACACACCCCCACTGGGGATGTGCCCGCAACCAAGGTGTATGCCCTAGAACAGAATCGAACACGGGACCTTTCAGTCCACAGGCCGACGCTCTATCCACTGAGCCAAACCGGTTTCGGCTACCTTTTTTTTTAAAATATATTTTATTGATTTTTTACAGAGAGGTAGAGAGAGGGATAGAGAGCCAGAAACATCGATGAGAGAGAAACATCAATTAGCTGCCTCCTGCACTCCCCCCCACTGGGGATGTGCCTGCAACCAAGGTACATGCCCTTGACCGGAATCGAACCCAGGACCTTTCAGTCCGCAGGTCTATGCTTTATCCACTGAGCCAAACTGGTCCCGGTCATCTTTCATTATTTTAAATCTTTACCCACTTGTTCTTGAAATTACAACAGGTATATCAGGGATTAAATGACAATCTGTACCTGTTTTTTCCTAGGAGAAAGTGAGTTTTAAAAAACGAAAAATGGGGAATTTGGTTCATGGGAAGTTTCTTAACCTTTCAGTGTATTGGTCAGGAAGGATGTGTGTGGTGTGGTACTGGATACCATTGAGTTCAAGCTTTTAGATTCCAGGTGACTGCTGAGTTGGAGCAGGTTTTGCCTCTTGATTTGATTCAGGAGAATTCTGCACTAATACAGTACCTGATACAATATACCATTAGACATACATGTCATTGTTTTCTAACAAGATAGCAACTGGAAAGCTTATGGAGTTTGGAGCACAGTTGTCATCTATAAAAATTAAAGCATTATAGCAAATCGACCGAATGGCCAAACAGCAGAACCACTGCCTGGACAACCACACTGTGACATGCACTGGTGCCAGGATAGCCAAGGCGGATGCAATGTGATTGGACAGGGGGGCCCCCGCCATTGCTCCACGATCGCCCTGCAGAGGGAGGCCCAGGCCACCAGCCAGCGGGTAATCAATTGAGTGGTGACTCCATGATCACCCCAAAGAGGGAGGCCCACACTACCTGGAGGACTATGCTGAGGTGGGTGGGCTGGGCTTCCCTCTGCTGGGCTATCCATCAGAGAGGGAAGCCCAGGTCCCAGGTACCAGCAGACAGAGGGAAGCCAGTGCTAGAAGCCTGGGGAAGGAAGGCCTATCCTTGCATGAATTTTATGCATCGGGCCTCTAGTATTTCATATCATGTTACATTCTGTTTGCTTTGTGATTTGTAGAGTAGCTGCCATATTTTAGCCCAGAGTATACTTGAAGGATGAGTTAAGTGTGTTTATGCCTTACAATTCTTGGAAAGGAAGTGATTATACCTGAGTAAAAGCATGTAGTCACCACTGTTATATCCGTTGTCATATTTAGGTGTCCTTTTTTCCCCTCACATATAAGTTTAGTTTATTAATCCTTTCATGAAAAATCTGCACAATCACCACAGATAAAGTCCTGAAGATTCTTGACTCCTTTTTGCCAGCACCAGCATTAGCTTTTGCAGTCCCCTTGACTTTCTTCATTCTGTTCTTGCATTCCTTTCTCTGTTTTCTTGAGGTCATCTTCTCATATAGGCCATGTCTTGCAAGTCTATATTTGGGTTCATTTTTCTTTGCGTAATCCAAGAAATCATAAATCATGCCAAAGCCAATGGTCTTACCACCACCAAAGTAGATTCTGATCCAAACACAAAGATGACATCAGGTGTGGTCTTATACATTTTGGCTAGTTTTTTCCCAAATTTCTGTCTTGGGTACTGTTGCCTTCCCAGAGTGAAGGACATCAATGACCATATGCTTCCACTGAAGTAGTCTGTTGGTCATTAACTTCCTGGTCCATATAGTTATTGTGTCATTCATGATGAAAGTTGATCTTCAGGCAGCCAGGAAAAGAGAGGCACTGTTTCCTCTTTAGGTGCTTTTAAGCACCACTTAGTTGTTGTTGTTTTTTGCGGGGGAGGGTTGTGTTTTGTTTTTTAATTTATTTTTTACAGAGAGGAAAAGAGGGGAATAGAGAGCTTAGAAACATCGATGAGAGAGAAACATCAACCAGCTGCCTCTTGCACACCCCCTTACTGGGGACTTGCCCGCAACCAATGTACATGCCCTTGACTGGAATCAAACATGGGACCTTTCAGTCCGCAGGCCGATGCTCTATCCACTGAGCCAAACCGGTTACGGCAACACTAGTTTTTAAATCCCATTTTCCTACTCTTAATTATATAATTTTGAGTGGAAAGCACTGTGTTCTAGAATTTCATATCTACACAAATTAAAAACCTAGATGTTTTAGAACATAACTGAAGTGTTTATTCGTTGATTCAAAACATAAATATAAGGTAAGTTTATTAGAACTAAAATTGTCTCTCAGAAGAAACTTCGAGGCAAGAGAATATTTTGACAAAGGTTTACTGGACTCTTGAGAGAATGTTTTATGAATATTAACTTGAATAGCTCATCTTTATTTCTATTTCAGGCTTGCTGGTGGGTGCCCTCCTTACTCCCCAATATATACTTCTTGGCTAGATTGCTGGAACATGCTACAAAAAGAGGTACTTCTCTCATTTTCTCTTCCTCTCTTGGCCCTATCCTTCCCCTTTTCACCTCCCCCGGGACACCCTCCTCCACCCCCACCCCCACCCCCACTTCATATATTTTACTTTATTTTATTTTTATTTGTTTTCTTAATGTTCCTGGGATCCCAGGTTAATTCTTATAGCTTACCTTTTAGCTATTAATTACTGTGCTCTTGACAATGCTCCATATGTCATCTGGCAGGGTAGTAAAATGTGCTGCTTAGAAATAGCAAGGGTGCTGAAATGGGTTTGGCTCAGTGAATAGAGCATCGGCCTGTGGACTGAATGGTCCCAGGTTCGATTCTGGTTGAGGGCAAGTGCCTTGGTTGTGGGTGCATCCCCATTGGGGGGTGTGCAGGAGGCAGCTGATCGATGTTTCTTTCTCATCGATGTTTCTAGCTCTCTGTCCCTCTCTCCTCCTCTCTGAAAAATCAATAAAATGTATATTTTTTTAAATTTTTTAAATTTATAAAAACGAAAGCAGGAGTAATGAAGAAGCAGGATGTGATCCAGATGCCTTTTGAGTGATCACATTCAAATTACAAATGGGCTCTGGGTAAATGCTTATCCTGGTTGTGAAAATGATAGCCTTGATTTCCTTTTTTTTTTCTTTTTCTTTTTTTTCCAACTTTACTTTTTGTAACTTCTCATAATCTCCTTATGCATTCAAGTGTTTTATTACAGTGTGGTAGGAGTAAACGGAAAAATGAGAAGTTGTTTATGTCATTATTTGTTCACAGTGATGTTGATAGACCTAGTCTCTTGCTGCTAGAGTCTTAATTCTGGTTTTGTTCTAGTCGTTTAGTTATGTCTCCTAAACATGTTAGTGGATCATTTTGTTCTGACTCTAATTTATTGCTTGTTACTGCTGTGAGATACATCATCTGCAACCAAAAATTCCTGATCGCTCTAGGCAAAGTTTTATTAGGAACCAAAGTAATAGATGGCTGTGCGCTAATTTAATAGGACCCCTTAAAACTGCCATCAGTTTAAAGCTTGTTTTTGCGTGGAAAGCACTTTTTTTTTTTTTTTTTTCAATCCTTACCCAAAAATATGTGTGTTTTTTTGTTTGTTTGTTTTTTACTGAGAGAGAGGAGGGGAGAGAGAGAGACATTGATGTGTGAGAGAAACATCGATTGGTTGCCTCACATAGGTGCCCCCACTGGTAATCGAACCTGAAGCCTTTCGGTGCACAGGATAATGGTCCAACCCACTTAGCCATACCAGCCAGGGTGAGTGGGTAGCACTTTTTTTTAGGATTGTAGAAGAAAATATGTATGAAGAAATTCTTTGTTTCATTATATTTTTGCACTAGTGATATATGTGAGAAAAGCCTTTATTCATAGAGCTCAGTACTACTGTAGTTGTTTATGCTCAGTGTGCATATGCAACAAGCCCCACCTTGAATCCAGGCTAGAATTCTTTCTTTTCTTTATGTTTTTATTATATAATTTTATTTTTATTAATTTCCGAGAGGTGGTGGGGAGACAGAAACATCAATGATGAGAGAGTATCATAGATCTGCATCCTGCATGCCCTCTACTGGGGATAGAGCCCAAAATGCAGGCATGTGCCCTGACCTGTGACCTCTTGGTGCACAGGATGATGCTCAACCAAGTGAGCCACACTGGCTGGGCAAAATCACCATAGGACATTTTCTATCATCCTACTTTACATATGGAAAAACTGGGATTTTGAACAGTTAAATAACACCAATTATGTAACTCAAGGTTACATGGCCTATATTTGGGAGAGTGGGATCTATGTGTAGGCTATCTAACTTCACAGTTAAACTCACACGTTACTACTTTAATTATAAGATTGTATAACCTCTTCCTAGAGACCTGACAACTCCATTAAAAAATAAATAGAAGCACCTGGCCAGTGTGGTTCCGTGGTTGAGTGTTGACCTCTGAACCAGAAAGTAACAGTTTCATTCCCTGATAGGGCACATGCCAAATTTACAGCTAGAATCCGTACAGAGGCAGCCAATCAATGATTCTCTCTCAGCATTGATGTTTTTATCTCTCTCTCCCTTCCTCTCTATCTAAAAATCAATAAAGACATGTATTTTATTTTATTTTTAAAAATATATATTTTATTGATTTTTCACAGAGAAGAAGAGAGAAGGATAGAGAGCTAGAAACATCGATGAGAGAGAAACATCAATAAGCTGCCTCTTGGACACCCCCACTGGGGATGTGCCCACAACCAAGGTATATGCCCTTGACCGGAATCGAACCTGGGACTACTTAGTCCACAGGCTGATGCTCTATCCACTGAGCCAAACTGGTTTCAGCAAGACATGTATTTCAAAAAATAAATAAAAGCCAGCACTTACGTTAGGACTGTTCTCAGCACTCTATAAATAATGATTCATTTCATAGCCCAGCCAGCAAATGTCAGAGCTATAGTCCAAACTGGGAATTTTGTCCAAATAAGTAAGAAAGTTTTGCCTTATCTATGAGGCAAAATTGGAGTTACTTCTACAAAAGCTCAGCATGAGTCAGAAAGTACAAATTGCTACTCTTAGTGATCATTGGTTTTGTCCTAGCCACTTTTCTCCTAGAAACATGTCTAGAAAGATCTCTGCTGATTTGGATTGGCTGATCTCATCTTCACACTAGATTTTATTTGTATTTATTTGTTTTCCAGGGAAATTTGAGCCGAGGAAATAGCTTGTTTTTCCGGAAGGTCCCCTTTGGGAAGACTTATTGTTGTGACCTGAGAATGTTAATTTGAAGATGTGGGACAGGGACAGTGACATTTCTATAGTCCCAGATGCACAGAATTATGGGAGAGAATGTTGATTTCTATACAGTGTGGCACGCTTTTTTAATAATCATTTACTCTTGGGAAAATGGAGGTATTTGGTGTCTGCCTTTTTTTGTTCTTTTTCCCAGCACAGCATAATTTACCGCTAATATTCCCCTTTAGTTATTCTAAAATTGTACATTTTTGCTCCAGACTCTTTATTTTACTTAAACAGGAAAAAAAGTTGTATTTTTCCTAACTATTGTCATGTGATTTGGTCTTAATTCAAGGCTTTGTAAAATGAAGAGTACAATCCCAAGAAGAAAGATAAATAATTCTGTAAAACTTAAGAATAGTAAGGCAAACTGTATGGAAGGTCATGAATGACCTTTCTTTAGTACACCCTAAAAGCTCAGCAGTATCCACCAGAATTTGCCTCCCATTATATGCTTCTAGGCGTTTTTATTAATCCTGTCTCACATACTTCATAAAAAGGACAGTCCATTGCTAAATCACCCTACAAAATCTCTACATGAAGTATCCACACCTTCAGTCTGTTATTGCAAAGTAATAAATTGTTGTCAACAAAAAGAAAGAAAAAAACAATTACAGAGAATAAGCAAGATTTGGAAAAGAAGCATACCGGCTTTTTTTCCCCCAAAGAAATTCTCGTTATCATTTAAAATATGAAAAGCAAATGCTACAGCAGTAGCCCCTTCTCTAAAAGCTAAGTGTTTTCCAGTCCCTAAATGACATCATTACATAGTTCTAATTTTATATACTCCTGTTCTTCAGTTTTTGTTTTGTTTCTTTTTTGTTGCAGAAGGTGAGTAGTTTGTTTTTCATTCCTTAAAACACCCTTGGAAAGTGTACTTGTAACTTCATATCAGGTAATACAGTCCACAGGGTTCTTAGGATATCGACCACCTGGCATGTCATACCCTCAGTTAGGCATGTTAACAGCATTTATAGAAGGGAAAAAATCATTTTAGGAGGCAATGAATTTCAACTCAAGCATAAAGCTTCTATTTACTCAGGACTTTTAAAAGCAGGTTAAAATGCTCCAAGATGAGAAAGCATGTTGTTTTACTTAATTAAGTAACCCACTAGGATGTTGCCAAATGAGTAAGCTCTTAATTTGCTGCTTCTCAGTTTCTCTTTCAAAGCAGCAGCCCCCATGATATCCGACTGAGCATGCAGGTCTCTCCTTCCCCAGGGTCTAGGAATCAGCCTGAAGCTCATGAGTAGCTTACCTTGAAATGTCTTTGATGTCTCTTACTTTGTCTTAAAAAGTAATGTAAATTTTATATTCTATTCAATATTATATGAATTTGTTTTAATATAAAAATGTTTTTGCATTACCCATCTTTTTTCCCCAAAAAAAATCTTCAAGTAAAGATGATCTAGGAAAATGTGCCATGTTTATTATCCTGTGGCTTCTGTGCTCATACACGCCTGCCTATTCCTAGTTAAGTCTGACTGTAAGGACCAGTCTTCCACCAGAGGGCGCCAAGACTCTGGTTTGGCCTGTGCAACAAGGCCTGGAATTGTTCAAAATACCAATCTAGTCAGTCTGACTACATCCAAGCAATAGGTCCAATAAGGGTGCTATTCCTATGTTCCTCATTAAGTTTAAAGGCTATTCATAGAATAAAAAGTCTGAACTTTATTCAGGGGCTAGTAAATTCAAAGGTACTATTAAGATACATATGTAAAAATAATTAACTGACTCATTATATGTGTAATATAGACTTAGATGAGGATTATCTAGTAAACTGCACCCATGAAACTGGGCAATTGCTTTGCTTTGGCAGTGCTGAGCAAAGGGCCAGGAAATATACCCCTCTAGGAAGTGTGATGGTCATTTAAGCCTTGATTAAAGAAAAGAGTGAGGGGTTTCCTGGAACTTTTGGGTGGTTGTAAAAGCAACCTTACAATGAAATAAACTTGAAACATAACCCTACATTCATGCTTCTTACTGTTACCTGAACATACATTGGCTTTGTTGTGATCTCCTACTTTAGAAATGTCTTCTTTCCCTCTCGCATTCACATTTGTCCTCTATAGTAAGAATCAGTCCTTGTGGGATCTCCTTGTGAAGTCTCTCACTTATAATTCTCCCAACAGGAGGAGGTCTTTGCCTTCAAACTCCCCTCCCCCAAGTCCCGTAATTCCAGTATAAACTGAACTGACAAAATGGAAACTACATTCAAAACCAAGTGTAAGGCCTACCCAGCAGGGCATCACTTCTCTCTGATTTGAAATTCTGTGAAAATAATTACAGTTAGCCCTTCTAAAACAGGCCCCCTAAAACCCTAGGCTTTATAGAAAAACTAGCTGATCAAGGAGCAGTACATGTAGTTGATCAGTCTAAGGTGAGGGAGCAGGAAGAGAGACTTTGGGAAGTAGTAACTGCCAAGCCTGTTACATAAGTTTTAATCTCATAATCCTTGGTGGAAATAAAGAAAATGAGATTCATATTAAATCATTCAGACCTGAGTTTAAAGTTGTAAGGTATATTTACTGCTTCATGGAGGCTGAGGGGGAAAAAAATGGTAAGTAAGGCATCCTTCTGAAGAAAAAAGCTCAGCCTCTTAGTGAAAGCAGTGAACTGAAGACCAGGCCTCCCCTAGGACAGAGAGCAGAATGGTTCTAAATCAGGAAATACATAGTTCTTGCCTCTGTAGAATGATAAATAAGGGAAGTAACAAAATATATATGATTGCCATGACTTACCTAAGCTGTTATGATGGTTTATGCAGCTAGAAAATAAAGTTCTTGTATAATTAGGATTTACTCTTTAGGAGTACCATCAGTCCATTTTATTTGGATTTCTACCACGTTGGGAGGATAACATTTCTTCAAAGTGACCTACTATGTGTCAGTTCCTCTGATGGATTTTTCTAGAATATCCTTGTATGTTGGGGGGACTTTATAAAGGCTGCCTTCCCAAGTGGTATAATTTATATCTTGGTGTTTAAGGTAACTGATTAATTTTCTAAAGCAACTGAGTGTTTTCCTTCCAACAAACTTTGTCCCTAAGAATCAGCTTCTGTCTGCTACCTAGAGATGTCTTGGGGAGGCCCCCACACACTGTTAGTCTGCTGTGATTCATGGCCACCAGCTGAAATCTTGGAAAGCCCATTTTGCCTTGCTCTCACAGTGCATTCCTCTGCAATCCAGACCCAAATCGCTGGAGTGGGACCAATTAGACAAATTTTGTATTAAAATCGCAATTATTTATCCAACTTACTACAGCCCTGAAAAAGAGTATTTTCAAATAGATTCAGGTCGGTATCACCCTCCAAAATATGGTTGGAGAACAGGGCGTTAGAGAGCGTCAAGGAGAAGAGGTTGAGAAAAAGAAACGTGACGTGGAGGTGCTATTCAAGACTCGCCAGTTTCCTGAGAGGAAGGGCAAATACTGAACAAGCCCCACCCCTCCCAAAGTCTCCACAGTGACAATGGGTGAGAGGCTTTCTACACCAATTTCTGCTCACTAAGGCAGCCAGAAGAATGTTCTCTGGTCATGCCACATTTCCACGGAAAATCTACTTGGTATTGCAGCTTGTTTCCAGACAGACTAGCATGAGGAACTAACGGTCAAATAAGGACAAGAAACAATTGTACCTACTCACTTTCTGTCCAGTCTGGGGCCCTGCCCTGGCATCAAAAAGACTGGGGAGAGCCGAAACCGGTTTGGCTCAATAGATAGAGCGTCGGCTTGGGCACTGAAAGGTCCCGGGTTCGATTCCAGTCAGGGACATGTACCTTGGTTGCGGGCATATCCCCAGTAGGGGGTGTGCAAGAGGCAGCTGATCGATGACTCTCTCATTGATGTTTCTAACTATCTCCTTTCCTCTCTGTGTAAAATATATTAAAAAAAAAAAAAAAATGGGGAGAATGTCCATTGGCTAGAAATGAAAAAAGATGAAAATGGAAACAGCATTTCTTCAAAGTGATCTATGTGTCAGTTCCTCTGATGGATTTTTCTAGAATATCCTTGTATGTTGAGGGGCTTTATAAAGGCTGCCTTCCCAAGTGCCATGAAAAATCCATTCGAGGAACTGACACATAGATCACTTTGAAGAAATGTTATTTCCGAGCCACACCTCATGCCTTGGAATTTAGTATTTCATGCCTTTGCTCCCCTAAGGGACCTAACGTTTAGAGTTTGTAAGCGCAGTCCTCAGTTATTCAATGTGCAGCCTACGCAAAGTCCTGTGGTAGGGTCAGGGGAGAGTGTACAGCGAGCAGTGAGTCTCTCCCTGGCACTTACCTGTGCACTGAGGGAGGGATGCAGTGTGACAAAAACAAAAAGAGGAATGGTGGGAGGATTAAACGGAACCATATGTAGAACAAAGCCTGGTACACTGAGAAAGGACAGGAGCTGAGTTCCGGAGACACGCTGTGATTATGGTACAAGGCAATATATGCCCAGAGATGCTGAAACCAAGCACCATGGGGTCCACAAGGGGGGAAGCTCACATCCCTTTGGGAGAACTTGGGGACAACTTTATGAAGGATAGGATAACTAGGAAGCAGGATGGTGAGATCGGAACCATTTCCAGCTCTCACTTAGTAGCTGTGATACCTCGGGCAAGCTCCTCATCTCTAAATGAGAGCAATTGTCATATTGGAGTATTTTTTTTAAATATATATTGATTTTTTATAGAGAGGAAGGGAGACTGATAGAGAGCTAAAAACATTGATGAGAGAAAAACAATCACACTCCCCACTGGGTATGTGCCCACAACCAAGGTACATGCCCCCAACCAGAACCAAAGCCGGGACCCCTGATTCCGTAGGCTGAAGCTCCATCCACTGAGCCAAATGGGGCAGGGCATATTGGAGTATTTTTTTAAAAACATTTTTATTGATTTCAGAGAGGGGGAGAGCGAAACACCGATGAGAGTGAATCATTGATTGGCTACCTCCTGCACACCCCCTACTAGGGACTGAGCTCACACAACCCAGGCATGTGCCCTGACTGAGAATCGAGTAGTGACCTGGTTCATAGGTTGATGCTCACTTATTGAGCCACACCAGCAGGACTTATTGGATTATTGAATTTAATACAGTATCTGAGAAAAAATGTGGTATGTGACAGCTATTATTATCTAAGAGGAAAGGATACTTGCCAAGTACAGATGATGTGGGCAAAGTCATGGAGGTGATGGAGGCTGAAGAGTGGAATTGCATCTCTTCAAAGCTGTATTTGGAGCTCATTTGAATAATTCGCACCCAAAACAGTAACTGTCACATAGGACTCAGTAAATGTGAATAAATGGATGTCCTTCAGGACCCTGAAATTGGATTATATCTCAACCCTCTCCCTAAGTCTGCAGTGGTAATTGCATTTACAAACTTTATTAAACACTTCATTATCACCCTGTTTTCCAAGTTAAAAACCCTGAAGATAACAGTCCTCCCACCCCTCCCTCTACTTCTAAGAAGTCGCTGCTAGGTTCTCAGAAATACCTTTTGGATTTGTCATCTTCCCTCCATCCCCACTGTCTTGGTGGATCATCTCTGGTCAGCTGTTGCAGCAGCCTGTTATCTTGTCTTCCTGCCATCAACGTGGCACAGT